ATCAATATGGAATTATTACCCCACGCTCATTCGATATTTTCTCCCTGGTTGATGATAGTAGGCACAATTCAAATAATCTATGCAGCTTCAACATCTCCAGGTCAGCGTAATTTAAAAAAAAGAATAGCCTATTCTTCTGTATCTCATATGGGTTTCATAATTATAGGAATTGGTTCTATAAGCGATACAGGACTCAACGGAGCCATTTTACAAATAATCTCTCACGGATTTATTGGCGCTGCGCTTTTTTTCTTGGCCGGAACGAGTTATGATAGAATACGTCTTGTTTATCTCGACGAAATGGGCGGAATGGCTATCGCAATTCCAAAAATATTCACGACTTTCAGTATCTTATCAATGGCTTCTCTTGCATTACCGGGCATGAGCGGTTTTGTTGCCGAATTGATAATTTTTTTTGGAATACTTACTAGCCAAAAATATCTTTTAATGACAAAAATATTAATTACTTTTGTAATGGCAATTGGAATGATATTAACTCCTATTTATTCATTATCTATGTTACGCCAGATGTTCTATGGATACAAGCTTTTTAATGCCCCAAACTCTTATTTTTTTGATTCTGGACCGCGAGAATTATTTGTTTCGATCTCGATCCTTTTACCTGTAATAGGTATTGGTGTTTATCCCGATTTCGTTTTCTCATTATCAGTTGACAAGGTCGAAGCTATTATATCCAATTATTTTTATAGATAGTTTTCATGAGTAAACCAAAGGATTAAACGGAAATCCCATGATTTTAAAAATCGTTCATTGTACAATAAAAAATAAGTCCTTTTTTTCTTTTAAGTTAAATTTGAAGTTAAATAAAAAAATTGGAATTATATTATAACCGGAAATGTCTAGCATTTCTGAGAACCATTTGAATCATTCCATTTCCATTACTTGATTCAAATGGTTCTTAATGGTTTACATGAAGTTTTCGTATATATACACGTATGCCATCCTATGTTTCTATTCGTCAAGTCAGTCAAGTCCTTTATTTAATTATTCAATTAGATGTAAATGAACCATAACTATGCAACCCTATTCCTAATAGATTAACCCCAAAATAGCATATCCAAATTATAAGAAAGCCCATTGAGGCCACAATTGCAGAATTTATACTTTCAAAAATTTTATTTGTTCTAATATGTAAATAAATCGCGAATACGGTCCAAGTAATAAACGCCCAAGTCTCCTTTGGATCCCAATTCCAATATGATCCCCATGCTTCATTAGCCCATACTGCTCCCGAAAGAATACCTACGGTTAAAAAGATAAACCCTAGACTAATAATACGATAACTCCACCGATCCAATTGTTGAATCAATTGATACCTGTAATAATTTTGAGACGAAATAGAAGTGTTTCGTAAGACATTGTTCCTTTCGTTCACGTGTTGAATCTCACCAAAGTAAAATGACTCATTTACTAATACTAAATTATTGCCTTTACTAAAAATCCTTCTGAATTTTCAAGCTTGTTGCAGCAGCAGCTGCCATCTTGTTTCTTCAATCAATCTGTGGGAATGAGAGTGTCACTAGGAGGTTGTCCATTTAATTGAAACGATTCAACTTCTACAAGAACATAAAACATAAGATAAATTAATGTTTACAAAGTTAAAACACACAAATTAAAACGAAAAGCAATAACAATACCAAACCCTTACCTTTTTCCAATTTCTCCAAAGTTAGGTACAACTCCAATTCATCTTCAGTGGGCTCCCTGTTGAAGTCAAAACCCTCACTTCTCAACCACTCTTTTGTGCATGTAAGGGCTTCAACTGTTTTGGAAGTCAAACAAGCCCGAAAAGGATCCACGACCATTTTTCCAGTACTAAAGGGGGATTCTAAAGGCACACTCGAAATGGGAACGGCAAATATGTCATTTGCAACCTTTGACATGATTGGAAACTTTGGAGAATGTTCTTTCCACCAACCCAACAAATTGAACCCTACATTTTTTGGATTCTTAGCAGGCTCCAATAAATATTTATCAATTTTGTGGGGGAAGGTGTTGCAGTGCGTGAACCATGAGGGTTTGCAGGTGAGCAGGTGTCGAATATGGTAATCAAGGAGAGGTTTAAGTGCTTCAACACGTTGTTCGACGAGATACACAAGACGCAGAGCACGTGGGTGGTGAGTGATGAGCAGCTGCAATCTGAGCTTAGGGCTTTGGTTTTGGCGGTGGTGATCCCGGCGTATCGATCCTTCTGGGGGAGGTTCGGGTAGTACTTGGAGGGGACGAAGCAGGGGGAGAAGTATATGAAGTACCAACCGGAGGATATTGAGAATTTGATTGATGACTTGTTTGATGGGAACAATACTTCAATGATGAGGAGGAGGACGTGATAATTTTGAACAACGAATTCCCAATGTTTTGATCGATTAATTCATGCCAGATGGTGGAAATTTTTTCTAGTGATGGATTAATTTTGAGCAAATTTTCTGTTTTCCTTGTGTCCCTTTCTGTTCAGTTTCGGCAGATCGGGATTTATGTATCTTGTAAACTACATGTTGGACTTATTTGGGTTTTGATCATATAGAAATCTCACACCAAGTTTTGAAATTCCTCTCTCCCCTCAACAAACTCTCTTGAAATTCCTTCTCCCATTACTTTGAACCCCTATTTCTCATAGGAAATCCAAGCATTCTCTCTCTTTGACGCTAAACTCATGAATGCTTAGCTTCCATGTCACAAGCTTCTCAAGCCAAGCCATATATTTATCTGTGAGCAACTGTTGGTTTTGTTGGTGAAGGAGACCAAGGTGCTTCCTAAGGCTCCACAACCCTTTCAAAGCACTCTTGGGGCCTAATCCTTGAACTCAGGCACAGGGGCAACTCTACCATTTTTGCTCTTTATAGCAGCCCATGCCCATCTGTAGATGCCGGAACGAAAAAGCCCCACATAGTGCAAGTTTCACAACATTTGTTGCTAAACTTAATCAGTTTTCAAATAAAATAAATCTCCTAGGAAAACCGATTCACTTTTATTGTTTAGGCTTAAAATAATTAAAATAACGTCAACATCATCGTTATGTAGGTTGCAATCTCCTAATTTGATTATCGACACACATCATGACTCAATCTCGGCTAGTTCTTTAGAAAATGTGTTATTTTATTGACATGTGCAATTTGATTATTTTATAAAGGAAAACAATCTACTTCTGAGAACATTTTACCCAAATTATTTATAAAAAAATTATCATGATGAATTGGTTAAAATTCGAAATCTCATTAAGCATAATCCTTTAGCGTATAATTTCTATTAAAGAAATTTTATTGAACTCAAAATTTAGGGCATTTGGTTATGTTTCATGCCATATTGTAGCATTTCGAACTTTACAAATCATACATATGTGAGTTAGGCCAGTTGTGCCCATTTTTTATATATATAAAATATAAGCTATAGTCTAAACTATAAGGGAGTGGAAAACTTCTTACACAAACACTACCAATTGCCCAAATAGAGATGCTGTTTATGATTTGGAAGATGTTATTGAAACTTACGGCTTGAAAGTGGTTTCCACAAAGAAAAGAGGTGTGAAGAATGTTCTCAAAAGATTTGCTTGCATCTTAAAGGAAGGGGTCAATCTTCACAGGATTGGAAAAGAAACTGAGAATATCACTACCAAAATTTCTGAGTTGAGGTCGTGTTTGCAGAAGTATAACATAAAGGAAATTAATCCTTGTAATTGGAGAACCACTCGACTATCAACCACCACCGACAATGCCAAGGTAATTTCTTTCTTTTTATTTTTTATTTTTAAAAAAATGAGTGCATTTTAAAGCGAAATTGGTGGTTTGGTTTGTGTTTATGACTTATAAAATGAAGCACCAAGAGCAGAGCACAATATGTGCTCCCCTGTTTAGCTGTGTTTTCTTTGTCCATTTTTATTGTTTTTTGCTTGTGCTTGCGGCAGGTCAGGACTGGTAAACGAAGGCCTTTCCATTTATAGCTCTTTATCAACTGATTTTGAAATTAAACCAGCAGTGGAGATATGTGCTTGTGTGGTGGATCTGTTAGGCCGATCAGGTGAGACCTCGATCGAGCATTAAATTTCATCAAAACAATGCCTGTAGAACCTGGTCCAAGTGTTTGGGGGTCTTTAGTTACTGCTTCTGTGTTGCATGGGAATCATGACATGCAAGATCTAGCTTACAGGTTCCTTATTCAACTAGAACCCCAAAACCCTTCGAATTATATTTCGCTATCGAACTTCTTTGCTTCTTCTAGAAGGTGGGACGTTGTAGCTGAAATGAGAAGAATGATGAAAGAAAGAGGTTTGAAGAAGGCACCTGGGTGCAGCTGAATAAGCATTAATTAAAAGACTCATTGTTTCTATGTTGCTGATAAAGCACAACCTTGTTCTAATTCGATCTATCAGATGCTTGACTACCTTATCTTAGTGATGAAGGGAGCCTGCTATTCTGATGATTTTGAACATCCAGCATAGATCCTTTTTATATTGGGCTGGTACTACCATTTAGTGATATAATGATTGTTGTTAGTTGCTTACACAACTTTGTAAATTTTTTTTTTCTTTATCAGATTCAGGTCTGCCTAATGTAAGTGATCTAATAGCCTCATCGGGCTTCCATGCAACTGGTGTATACTACGTCCCTTTCACAATAGTTGATTATGTGATCTGCTTGTGAGTGGCGATTGTGACAAGCGTGTATAGTCAAACCTAGATAAGGTGGTTGAGCTTGCCATTTCCTATAGGCAAGGGGAACCAAGAATTTTTCAACAGGTAGGCTAGCTAAAGTTGTTAGCTTAAAATTTAATGATTATTTTTTTAGTACCTATAATTTCTATAGTCTTTCTAAAAATAAAAGTAAACGCCAAAATTGAGGGAAGGTGGTCTTGCATTGGATGCTGTGGTCCAATGATAATTGAGGGAAGGTGGTCAGAAAGAAAACGCCAAAATTTGCTACTTCTTGTTGGGTGGAATTGGACCACACACATAGAAATTGCTCTACCGACAAAGAGATGTTCTCATCAATCAATCTAAAAACTGGATCTGGTTTACTTGTTTTCGTTTTGGCGAAAAGAGAGTAAGCAGTAGAGAGAATGGCTGAGGCAGTTGTTTCCGTCGTGCTCGAAAGTGTCAGAGACTTCACCATTCAGGAAGCCAAGTTCTTGTCTGGAGTCAGCCGTCAAGTTGAAGCTGCACAAACTGAGCTAGAATTCATGCAGGGATTCCTCAAAGATGCAGATGCAAGACAAGGACAAGATACAAGAGTCCAGATTTGTGTTGCCAAAATTAGAGATGCGGCTTATGATTTGGAAGATATTATTGAAACTTATGGCTTGAAAGTGGATTCCAAGAAGAAGAAAAGAGGCCTCAAGAATGTTCTCAAAAGATTTGCCTGCATCTTCAAGGAAGGGGTTGATGTTCACATGATTGCGGCAGAAATTGAGAATATCACTACCAAAATTTCGGTGTTGAGATCGAATTTGCAGAGTTATAACATAAAGGAAATAAGGGACAGGGACAGCGGTGGTGGTGAATCTTCCTTGCAATTGCATGAGAGGCTAAGGAGAAGTTATTCTCATGTTGTTGAACGTGATGTTGTTGGGTTAGAGTCCAACGTTGAAGAATTGGTAATGCATGTATTGAAGGATAAAAATGGTCATCAAGTTGTATCTATTTGGGGGATGGGCGGTTTAGGGAAGACCACCCTTGCAAGACAGCTTTATCATCACAAAAAAGTAAGGCAGCGTTTTCATAGTTTTGCTTGGGTCTGTGTATCTCAATGGTGTCAAGTCAGAAATGTTTGGGAAAGAATTTTAATTGAACTCACTTCTGCTACCAAGGAACCAAAACAAGAAATTAAGGACATGACAGATGATGAAATAGCAAAGAAGCTTTTTTGTGTCATGGAAGAAATGAGATGTTTGGTGATTCTTGATGACATTTGGAGTATCGAGACATGGAATCTTTTGAAGGTTGCATTTCCAAACGTGGAAACAGAGAGCACAATACTGCTTACTACACGGAATCAAGCAGTAGCTTCGCTCCCAAATAGAAATGCTTATATCCACCAACCCCAGCCACTCAATGAGAATGAGAGTTGGGAACTACTTGAGAAGAAAGCAATACCTGCAAGGGCTGAAATCGGTATTTTCTCACCCTTGATATTTTCTTTTCCAGGTCCTTGGTTATATAGCAAGCCACATAGAAACCATTACATTGCATATGACACAATTTATGTAGTGTTTTTTCTTTTTTCAATCGTTGGGATTTTACAATTTTTTAATATTGTCGAACATGTAACAATTTTATTGACTGCCTTACACATTTGTTTTGTTTTGGGGTCACTCATTTGTTAGGTAACAAGATGGATGGTAATTTATCTTATGCAATTGCAAATAATAATTAGGACAATGCTAGCTATTTCAAAATTTTGACCCAACCTTCTCTTCAATCCAACGATATCCCATTTGTTTTCTGTGTTGGTGCATGTATTATAAACTCTAAGCTTATAATAAGATAAGGATATCAGTAAATTTTGGGATTTCACAATTTTAATTTTAAATCATTCAGGCAAGGAATATCCACTAAGACTGCTCATACTACAAGTACGTATTTGATTTTTTTTTTTCTTTCCTATTTTTCAGACTTAGGAATGTACGCAAAGAAGAAAGACTTAGGAATGAAGATGCTTCAACATTGTAAAGGTTTGCCATTAGCCATCATTGTGCTTGCTGGAGTTCTATCCAGAAAAAACTCCATTAGAGAATGGGTGAGAGTGTATGAGAATGTTCGTGAATACATAAATAGAGGCATTGGACATGAAGAAGAATACGAAGGTGTATCACGAGTGTTGGCATTGAGTTATGATGACCTACCGTATTACTTAAAACCATGTTTTTTATATTTAAGTTATTATCCTGAAGATTGTATTATTTCGGTAAGCACATTGACTAAGTTATGGGTGGCAGAAGGTCTTATCTTCTTAAGACAACAAGGTCATGGTTCGGAGAAAACAATGGAGGATATAGCACGTGATTGCTTAAGTGAGTTAGTGGAAAGGTGTTTGGTTCAAGTGGGAACAAGTGGTTCAACTGGGACAATTAAAGATTGTCGAATCCATGATCTTATACGAGACATGTGTTTGTTAAAGGCAAAAGATGAAAGCTTTCTCCAAATTAACTATTCTTTGCAAGAAAATACTTCTTCTGTGACAGCCCAGGCATCACAATTGGGAAAAATTCGAAGACTTGCAATTTATGTGGATGAGAAGGCAGATAGGTTGGTTTCTTCAAGAGATGAAACAAATGGGCATGTAAGGTCTCTATTATTCTTTGGCCTAAGAGAATGGAGGCCAAAAAGTGAAAAAGGATTACTATCTCCGTTGAAGGATTTCAAAGTGCTTAGAGTTTTGAAGGTTGAAGGTCTTCGGGCAAGAAGAGTAGAGTTGCCAAGTGAAATTGGAAATATGGTACACTTAAGGTTTCTAAGTGTGAGAAGGAGCGAAATAAAAACGTGTCCACCATCCCTAGGTAATTTAGTATGCTTGCAAACTCTTGATTTTCGTGTTTCAAGTTATATTGACATGGTCATCCCAAATGTGATAAAGAAGATGAAACAATTAAGACATTTATATTTACCTTGGAATTACAGAGTAAAGGGTAAGCTGGAGCTGTCTACTCTTGGCCATCTACAGACCTTACATAACCTTTCAAGTGAGTATTGTGATTTGAAAGATGTTGGTAGATTAACCAATCTTAGAAAACTGAAACTAAGAGTGTTAGGCTCTTTGCAAAATCTAGAGGAAATCTTAAAATCTACAGGCAGCACACTTAACCGTATCCGGTCTCTCATTATGAAAAATGACACGAATAGCGGTGAAGAGCAAGCTATGCAAATAGTATCAAGCTGTCAGGGTATATACAAATTGACGTTGGATGGGCCAATCGCAGAATTACCGAAAGAGCTACACAACTATCCAAACCTCACCAAGTTAGTATTATGGAGTTGTGGTCTCAAAGAGGACCAAATGGGAATACTAGAGAAGCTGCCAAACCTAACAAATTTGAAGCTTTTTGAAAAACCTTTCGAGGAGAATACCAAGATACTAGTTTTCTCCAGAGGAGGATTTCCTTCTCTTGAATTTCTTCATGTTTCTAGAATGGACCAAATAACAGAGCTGAGGGTAGAGAAAGGAGCCATGCCTCGTCTCTGTCAATTGTGCATCCAATTTTGCTCGGGATTGACTACACTTCCAGATGGGCTGAGATATCTTATTTATCTCAAGGAATTAACCATCAGATGGATGTGTAGAGAACTCCACCGTCGGATTGAGGAAGATGGAGAGGATTTCTATAAAATTCAACATGTACCTTCCCTTGTAATTGGAGAACCACTCGATTAACCATCGATGCAATGATAGCAAGGTAATTTCTTTATTTTAATGAATGATTTTGTAAGTTTGCCATTGGCCCCCAAGATAGGACATGTAAAAGTACTCAGATATTTCCCCAGGCAGTGTTTTTAATGCTGCCCTCCCTGCACTACGAAACGTCTGCACCCCACCCAAGGAATTAGCAACAAACTCAGACCTAAAGTTTAAAATACCTGTCCCTTGACTGAACCACTCTAATCAGCAAATTTAAATCTCTATTAGTTTTTTACCCTGAATAATCTTCAAATTCAGAGTCCACTTTTTTTTTTTTTTCACAACTCTCTAATATGAGGTAATTTAATTACACAAACACTAACAATGTGCAATAAGAATTCGAATATGAGACCACTAGCTTACAAGTCCATATCCTTTTTCACTTGACCAGATCTCATTGTGTGCTCGCTTCTTTGCAGACATTCAATCCTCATTCTCGTAAATTAGAATAACCTCGCTTGTGTTTTTAAAAAAGACTATTCACAATATGAATAATAAAAACAAAACAAGTTGGGCCTTATGCAAACAAGTTGTGTTAGCATATCCGGAATGATATGGCGCCGAGCTAGATCAGAGAGGGTCCAGGTTTAGGGTTTTACTTCCCGGGGATGATGTGGGTCCGAGCTAGATCGAGCGCGGGTGTCAACATCCGGAAGCTCTCTACCGCAGTACAACGTCGTATCGAGGACGAGGGCGACTGGTCCTACGCCTCGGAATGGTGGGGCACAGAATCTGAAGGCCACACCGTCCTCCGATCCACATCCGACAAAGGCAACGGCGTCGTTTCAGTCGTCGCCTACCCTTCGTCGAAACCCAGTGAACTCCACTGGGCATCAACGGAGAGATGGCTACAGAAAAGGTACGAAGAGATACATGGATGCCATGAACAGAACGACAGATTCAGAGTGCTCGGATATCAATGGCGCGCTCTTCGCTTCAACGATGACACTCGCCAAAGCACCGTCAAGGTTTTGGCTGCGTATCGGCAATCTGAACCTGGCGTTTTCGCCGTTATGCAGCAGCCGCATTGCTTGGCTGTTCCATGTAAGCAAACCCTTTTGGCCTCTGATGATTTGGTTTGGGTTTCTGTCTCAATTTAGTACCCAATTCAATTTCTATTTAGCTTTTGGTTACAATTGAATCACATTTGCATCACATCGCTTGGTGATTGATTGAACTTTATGTAGTATTTCAGTGTGTTTCAGTAATGATTGCATTACATTTGGTTACTTTCACTTTCAAATTGAATAATGTTTGGGCATGTTGTCGGGTTCTGTTTTTTTCAGATCTTAAGAGTATGATATCAGCTGGGTTGGCTGCTATAGCATCTTGTGATTACAATCTCATTGATGCGGTGACTGGGAACGAAAGCATGCGTATTTTGTGCATTGGCCATGGTGGGGGAAGCTTGCCATTGTTTTTGGCTAGTAAGATTCAAGGTAGGTTGCGTTTCAAGTTGGGTTTTAATGGAGTTGGAAGTTGAAGGAATGAAGGATGTGCCATTTTTGTCTTTTATTTCTTTACCGCTGTTTCTTGGTTATTTCCAAATCCAATGTGTTGTCACACATCCTATCAGAAGTTTTGAACTGAATAGTTAGGTATTGAACCTAACCTAGAATTATCTGCTCCTTTTTAGGTGCTGTTGTTGACATAGTTGAAATCGACCCTCTTGTTATCTCGGCCTCAGTTAAAGCTATGGGGTTTCCAGCTTTCTCAGTTGTTACTCCATCGGGCAAGCGTGCTGTCTCAATACCCGATACCATGGATGAGGTTCTGTGGAAAGGCATCCACGAGAGGCTGTTCCTCTATGAGTCTGATGCTGAGGAGTTCATTCTCAATAACACCAGCTTGTACGATATGATCTTCATTGATGCTTATGATGGCGAAGATATCTTCCCTCACAAATTATGGGATCCACATTCCCCATTTTTAAAAGCTCTCAGCAATCGGCTTTGCCCTGAACATGGCACGGTTGTGGTGAACCTTCATTCGGACACTGAGATCTTGAACCCTGATGGCTCTGCTCCATCCGTTCTGCAGCAAACCCTGCCAATGGGAAAGTACGTCTCGGGGATTTGCCGGGCATACAAGGACGTGGTAGTGGGTAATGGAAGTAGTTGTGGGGGAAAAGATTCTGGTTTGGGGTTTACTGTTTCAGTTCCTTGGGTGTGCAATACGTCACTGGTTGTCTGCAGAGGCTTTAGGGTTAAGGGTGGGCATAGCAACAGAGATGTGATCATGAACACTCTCATATCCAAATCCTTTGAACTGGAAAATGTTCTCAACTTGCCATTCTCTTGTTTGCAATATATAAAGAGAGGTTTTATAGTTGTTGATTAATTTCATAACAAGTTTATATATCTGGCCAAGTTTCTTCAGAGTTTGACTGAGGTTCTTTGTTTGTCTTAGTCTCTTGGCTCAATGGCCATTTCCCATTAAGATTTACCTGTGGATCAAATTGATGATGTTTTATTTTGGGGTTAACCAATTTTAGCACAATTGATGACAAAAGCTAATATCACAACACGTGCGATCATTGACTTAAGTTGATCGAGTCCCATGTAGACATCGGGTGGAGAAACATCTTGGTGCTCCTTTTCTGTAGATAAAATCCTCAATGACCAATAAATCCTCAGGAAAAAAAATGAGGTGAACAAAAACTCAATTGGAAATAAGACATTTAAATGGAGACTTCTTTTGTCTGAGGAAAACATCAGTAGAAAATTAGAGCTGAAAATTTTGTATCATGAGATCACACTGATTGGAATGAACGGATCCTTGTAGTTACATATAACTAGGGATAACACCAAAGGCCTGAGCTTCATCTACAAAGATCAAGCCACAGAGAGAGAATTAGTCTGGAAAACCAAATCCTAAACTGATAAACTGATCGCCTAAATAAATAAGAAACAGAAGTCTAATTATAATAAAGTACATTCTTCTTCATTTCAAATGTAAGGAATTTGGCATGACACACTTTCATGACCCTACCATGTATGCATAATTGCAGAGTTAAAGAGTACAGACCATTTGTATATTTTTGCGAGAGAGAGAGACCGACAGAGAACGTGAATTTCCATTTTCATTTATCTGGAGTAGTAAGGATTGGTCATAGGTGTAAATCAACAATACAAGATGTGATAACTCAAACTGAAATTAAACATTTAAACTCCCATTTTTAAAAGCTCTCAGCAATCGGCTTTGCCCTGAACATGGCACGGTTGTGGTGAACCTTCATTCGGACACTGAGATCTTGAACCCTGATGGCTCTGCTCCATCCGTTCTGCAGCAAACCCTGCCAATGGGAAAGTACGTCTCGGGGATTTGCCGGGCATACAAGGACGTGGTAGTGGGTAATGGAAGTAGTTGTGGGGGAAAAGATTCTGGTTTGGGGTTTACTGTTTCAGTTCCTTGGGTGTGCAATACGTCACTGGTTGTCTGCAGAGGCTTTAGGGTTAAGGGTGGGCATAGCAACAGAGATGTGATCATGAACACTCTCATATCCAAATCCTTTGAACTGGAAAATGTTCTCAACTTGCCATTCTCTTGTTTGCAATATATAAAGAGAGGTTTTATAGTTGTTGATTAATTTCATAACAAGTTTATATATCTGGCCAAGTTTCTTCAGAGTTTGACTGAGGTTCTTTGTTTGTCTTAGTCTCTTGGCTCAATGGCCATTTCCCATTAAGATTTACCTGTGGATCAAATTGATGATGTTTTATTTTGGGGTTAACCAATTTTAGCACAATTGATGACAAAAGCTAATATCACAACACGTGCGATCATTGACTTAAGTTGATCGAGTCCCATGTAGACATCGGGTGGAGAAACATCTTGGTGCTCCTTTTCTGTAGATAAAATCCTCAATGACCAATAAATCCTCAGGAAAAAAAATGAGGTGAACAAAAACTCAATTGGAAATAAGACATTTAAATGGAGACTTCTTTTGTCTGAGGAAAACATCAGTAGAAAATTAGAGCTGAAAATTTTGTATCATGAGATCACACTGATTGGAATGAACGGATCCTTGTAGTTACATATAACTAGGGATAACACCAAAGGCCTGAGCTTCATCTACAAAGATCAAGCCACAGAGAGAGAATTAGTCTGGAAAACCAAATCCTAAACTGATAAACTGATCGCCTAAATAAATAAGAAACAGAAGTCTAATTATAATAAAGTACGTTCTTCTTCATTTCAAATGTATGGAATTTGGCATGACACACTTTCATGACCCTACCATGTATGCATAATTGCAGAGTTAAAGAGTACAGACCATTTGTATATTTTTGCGAGAGAGAGAGACCGACAGAGAACGTGAATTTCCATTTTCATTTATCTGGAGTAGTAAGGATTGGTCATAGGTGTAAATCAACAATACAAGATGTGATAACTCAAACTGAAATTAAACATTTAAACTAAGACTTCTTTTGTCTAAACGAAAACATATACTGAACTAATGGCCTGAGCTTTATCAACAATACAAACTTTGACCACGAATTACACAAAAAGATGCGATCTAATAGTTTTGTAAACATTAGGGACGTTTTGTGATATTAAGCATTTTTCAAAAAAGGAAATAGTATAGCCGATCGGTTATACACGGTTTTTTCCTTTTAAAAAAAATAAATTAATAAATAGTATCGCCGCACGGCTATACTCCATTTTTTAATTTTTAAGCATAAATAGTACAGACGGGCGGCTATACTAGGTTTTTAATTTTTTTTTTTAAACGATATCGTACAGCCGCACGGCTATACGTTGTTTTTTTAATTTTTTAAGAGAGAAATAGTATAGCCGATCGGCTAAACTTGGTTTTTAAAAATTTTTTTAAATAAAAAACGTGTAGCCTTCCTAATTTTCAAAAAAGAAATAGTATAGCCGCAGTGCTTATTTATTTATTTATTTTAAATAGTACCGCCGGTAGGCTATACTCGGTTTTGTAAATAAATTAAAAAGAAATAGTATAGCCGCGCGGCGATATGGTGTTTTTTTTTTCTCTAAGAAATAGTATAGCCGGACGGCTATACCCTGTCTTCCTCATTCCAAATGCAGGGAATATCGCATGACACACTTTTCCTGATCCTCCATGTAGGTTTAATCACAGTTCTAAAGAGTACAGACCATTTGTATATTTTTGCAAGAGAGAGGCTTGATATCAACAGAGATAATGAATATCCATTTTAGTTGTCTTTTGTCTGTTCTTAAGTACGAAGTTATGATTCTTCAGAGCTGATGCTCGTCCTGCTTTCATCCTGTTTTTATTTCCGATCACCGCTCATTTTCTGAAACAAAATGACCAAACACAAGCAAATAGATTGCACAAGATGTTGATCATATTTTCAAATAGATACACTAATGCTGCTGAAACGTCCATACAACCTAGGATTTGGAACATGCTGCTGTTTCAAGTACTACATATGGTAATTTCTTCAATCTATCAGAAAGAAACATCTTAATTATTTAGGATTTAGGTGTTCCTTGGAGATCAATGGTAACAAATTCTTGGTAATGAAGACTATCATGTCCCAGAACCAAAAAGTAGGATCCAGTATTATCATCAAGTACAATATCTGTTAATCATAAGAGTATTATTCTTAGAAGGGTCCATGCCAAGTTCTTGAGAATCCGTATCACGGGATCAGCTATAGATAAGTCTAAAGCACAAAGCTTGATTGCAAGAAATACCATACTGGACGAACGAGAAATTACCAGGATTTGATAAGAAAGCACATGGCATAGGGATTGAGCTGGCTCTAATATTTTGTTTACCTTCTCTTCCATTTTACTGTCCTTCGTTTCTCCTGCCAAAAAGAGAGATTCAAATGTCAAAACTGGAAGCTAAACAATACAGAAGAGACATATTTTTCTCCCTAATATGATAGATAGAAATGAGATTTGTATTGTCACTAAGCATATGATTATGTAACTAAACCTTCAGCTACAGATATTGATGGCATCAATACACTTGTGACACAAGATTTTGGAATTCTTGCAACAATGGGTGGAGAAACATCTTGGTGTTCCTCTGTAGATAAAATCCAATGTCAAATCACCCAATGACCACTAAATACTCCAGAAAAATAAAAGGATGAACATACATTCTTTCCTAACATTAAGGAATTGCATCATTCTTTTGGAGTAAGGATTGATCATAGGAGTAAATCAATCAAACAAGCTCCAAAAACTCAATCGGAAATCAGACATTTAAACTGAGACTTCTTTTGTCTTAGGAAAACATATCACAAACTTTTATATCCCGAGTTCACACTGATTGGAATCAACTGATAAACTGATCGCCTAAATAAATAAGAAACAGAAGTCTAATTATAATAAAGTACATTGTTCTTCATTCCAAATGTATGGAATTTGGCATGACACACTTTCATGACCCTACCATGTATGCATAATTGCAGAGTTAAAGAGTAAAGACCATTTGTATATTTTTGCGAGAGAGAGTGAGACCGACAGAGAACGTGAATTTCCTTTTTCATTTATCTGGAGTAGTAAGGATTGGTCATAGGTGTAAATCAACAGTACAAGATGTGATAACTCAAACTGAAATTAAACATTTAAATTGAGACTTCTTTTGTCTGAACGAAAACATATACTGAACTAATGGCCTGAGCTTCATTAACGATACAAACTTTGACCACGAATGACACAAAAAGATGCAATTTGACAGTTTCGTAAACCTTAGGGACGTTTTGTGATATTAAGCTTTTTCTTTAAAAGGAAATAGTATAGCCGATCGGCTATATACGGTTTTTTTCCTTTCTTTATCCAAAAAAATAAATCGTATAGCCAGGCGGCTATACGCGGTTTTTTAATTTTTAAAAAGAAATAGTACAGCCGAGCGGCTATTCTTGGTTTCCTAATTTTTTAAATAGTATAGCCGTACGGCTATACCTGGTTTTTAATTTTTTAAGAGAGAGATCGTATAGCCGAACGGCTAAACTTGGATTTTAAATTTTTTTTATAAAAACGTATAGCCGCCCGGCTACACGCGGTTTTTTCTAATTTTTTTTAAAAATAAATAGTATAGCCGAACGGCTATACGCGGTTATTTATTTATTTTTGAAAAATAGTACCGCCATTCGGCTATACCCAGTGTTTTTAAAAAAATTTTAAAATAGTAGAGCTTGTCGGCTATACTCGGTTTTTAAATAATTTTAAAAGAAACAGTATAGCCAGTTGTTTTTATTTTTTTGAAGAAAATAGCTATACGTGGTTTTTTAAAAAAGAAATAGTATAGCCGCCCGGCGCTACTCGGTCAGTATAGCCGATCGGCTATACGTGTTTTTTTTATTTTTGAAAAACAGCATAAGGTTCTTGCTATGAAAGGCAATTAGTAATTACAAACAAACCACATGATGTGGCAATAAAAGAAGGCAGGCCTAATTTGGAAACAGTAGTTCACTCAATTATGAGAACTGATCTAATGGTTACATCGCTGGTTACAAAAAAGCTCATGCTGTTTCATGAACAAACAGGAAGATCTATTATGTATCAGAGTAATTCATTCAAGTAAGAGTGCCAAACTAATGGCAACTAAAAGACACTCGATTTCCCGTAGAGCTTGGTTTTCCATTTCTAGGGGGACGTCTCTGGCTTGGAATTGTTATCTCTGACCCTTTCCTTTCTTTAAGAGAGTTCTCATCCTTGGACTTTTTGGTTTTTGTAGAATTTTCAGTAATATGGCATGGAACAAATTGTGTAGGTTTTCCTAACCAAGTTATGATTCTTCAGAGCTGACGGTCGTTCTGCTTTGCTCCTGTGTTCATTTCCTATCACCGTATCATTTTCTGAAACAAAATAACCAAACACAAAGGTCAAGCCACAGAGAGAGAATTAGTCTGGAAAACCAATAATGACTCATGAGGACTAATAAACATTTTCCTACGGAATTAATGTAGGGATACAATCTACCACTTCCCTTAATACGTGTGCCAATCCTAAACTGATAGACCGATCACCTAAACAAATAGCAAACTGGATTATAATGATGCATATTCTTCCTCATTCCAGTGCACAGAATATTGCATGAAACACTTTTCTGGACCCTACCATGTAAGTTTAATCACAGTTCTAGAGAGTACAGACCATTTGTATATTTTTGTAAGAAAGAGTTTTGTCAATACAGATATGAATGTTCATTTTCTGTCCTTTTCTTTTGTGTGCAATTTTCATGCTCAGTATTAGGAAAAAAAGGAATGAAATAAAACAAAAAGATTTCTTTACACTTTCTTCAACTTGACAACTACAACTTTCAGAACAATCCTAAATATAAAAGGTATTATTACAAATGAATTCAAAGATACATATGAGACTGAGCAAGCAAACTTTTAGAGCTCAATTCTGTGATACAAATGCAAAACCCCATTAGTAGAACAAACACAATTTATCAAAACACGTAGCAAAATAAAAGTTGCATGTGTCAATTGGCAAAACAGGCAGGTTCAAAAGACCTATTACTCAATACTCCATGAATAACAATAAACCAGGACTGAAATAGATTAAACTTTCAAACTAGGAAATTCAGGATTTAAGGAAAACCTGGAAAAACAAAAATTAATGATGGCATGACGATCATCTTGGTCTTCTTGGTGCCTGACCTTCACCTTCGGGTACACAGTACACTTCAAGATTCCAAAGAGAAACAAGAAAATCCAATTTCAGAATCATTTTATTTTCTACTTTCTATTAACATAATCCAAAAGAATAACCCAAACGACAAAGCAAGCTAAATAAAACGAACACAAACCCATTTCTTTTTTCCTCTTCTTCTCCTCTTCTGTTCAACTATATTAAACAATCTACCATATATCTCCACAAGTACAACTACCATTAACAAATCTATGGTATCTGTTTACATCTCTCACAATGATCTCCCTCTCCAATACTCTACAGATATACTTGAATGCCTCATGGCAATCCCGGCATATCCTCAAATTCTTCACAATCCTTATTGACTTGCCTGGTGGTGCCGCGCCACTCACCACTGCAAATGCTACTGCCAACTTCTCACTGTGATACCAAAGGGCTTCCTTTTTCTCCCATTCCCCTACTTCATGCAATATCTCATCCCAAACCGGCACATATCCTAATTTTCCTATCTCCTCCATCAACTCTACCAATTTAGCATAGATCTCATTCATTCTTTCATGCCTTCTGTCCCGGGCGAAAAAGACATGAACTTTCCCCCTTACCTCGATCCAACTCCTTCCACCTTCCTTTTGTACCCTCCTATCTTTCATCATCTTCCTCACTTCTGCAACTTCATCCCACCTTCCAGCGTTTGATAACACATTTGCAGCAATTACATAAGCAGAGTCATCATGTGGGTCAATTTCCAATAACCGTTTAGCCATGGACCTAGCGAAATCAGGTGCTTTATGATATGCTGAACTTGATAGCAATGATCGCCACACTGCAGCGTCTGGTATCAACGGCATTGTCAGTGCAGCCGTTTCAGCCTCTTCCAATTGACCAGCTCTTCCCATTGCACCAACCAAACACGTATAATGCTCGATCGCTGGTTCCAACCCATAATCTACCTTCATCCGGGTCAGCCACCAATCAGTCTCAGAAACCAAACCTGCATTGCAAAATGACGTTAAAATTGCCAAAAAACTATATTCATCCGGCACAAGACCCCGAGCTTCCATTGCATTGAAAATCTCAAGCATCGATTTTGTATCCCCCTGTTGTGCATATCCAGCCAGCATCACATTCCACCCCACAATGTTCATGCTTGACAAGTTCTCATCAAAAACCTGTCTAGCATCAGACACAAGCCCAGCTTTCCCATACGAATCAATCAAAGCCGTCCCCACAATAACATTTCCGTCAAGTCCCGTAACTATAGCATGAGAATGTATGATCCTACATTGCTCCAACACAGCAAGCTCCCTTGCAGCACGAAGTGCGCCGGAAACACTATACATAGTAGACCCAATATCAGAACATTTCATGTCAGCAAAAGTGGACAACGCCTCAACGGGTCTCGAGTTCTGCGCCAACCCAACAATAACCGCTGCATAACAAACCTCGTCTTTGTGGGGAATTTCATCGAGCATCTTGCGGGCTTCAATGGGTAAGCGACATTTGGAGTAGAAATGAATGAGGGCAGACCCAGAAAAGGGCTGCGCCGAGACGCCAAGCTTGAGAGAGAGGGAGTGGAGGGCAAGGCCGAAGGAGAGAGAAGGGAGAGAAGCGCAGGTTTTGAAGAGGGAAGCGAAGGTGCGCTGGTTGGGGAAAGTGGGGTGGCGGAGCATGGAAACAACGTGTTGGAGGGCGAAGAGGGTGTTGCAGTGGGCCGAGATCACGGCCGTCCATGAGACGACATTGGGAGAAGAGATTTGGTGAAAGAGGCGGAGAGAGTAGGAGAGGAGATTGGACTTGGAGTAGAGAGTGATGAGGTTGTTGCGGACGGAACGGTCGATGTTGGCGGTGGTGATGGCTCGGGCGTGGAGGATGCGAGGGTCTGCGTTGGGTGGTTGCGGTGGAGGAGGGGGTGGTTGTATTGAGACTCGGTTCATTTTGGAGAGGAGGAGCTTGTTTGGACACTCGAAGACTTGCAGTTTGGGGTTTTTGGAGGGGTTTAGCTGTGCATGCTGAATGCACGTGAGTTCTCTTATATTTTCATGTATTTATTTAAGAAAAAAAGTCACTTGCGAACGCTATTGAAAGAAACTCTCATGCAAAGTTGCAAATTATCCTGTCAATAACACAATGACACGTGAAAAAATTAGCCCATGCTTCGTTGTGTTATTGGCTAAGAATAGCAAAATTATAAGAAAAGTTTTTTGTTTTTTGTTTTGACAGACTCAGGTTGGAATCCCTATGACACCAGTGTGTGAGAAATTTTTTATCTCCCTCATATAACTTGTATTTTAAAAAGAAGTCACTTTTGGTTCCGTTAATTTGTTGATTTTTTTACTTTAGTTCTTGTAGTTTAGTTTTGATAATTTAACCCTTGTAATTTAATTCTATCACAATTCAAGGACATATAATTTCCATCTAATTCTATCTAAAATTTCGTCTAAAATACCTTCCACGACTTAAGGATGAACTATAAAATTATGAAAATTAAAACTACAGGAATGAAAGTGGAAAAAAAAATCAGGTAAACGTGACTTTTTGACTTCATATGATTTATTTTTTATGAGCGAATTTTGTTGTAAATTATGTGGCTGCCCACAAAATCTCCAAAATTCGGAGTGCGACAAGACTTCACATATGCACTGGTAGTCGACTGCATTGTTTTATTTTTTCAGTACAACTTGCAGGCCGGCTTGGTCAACATTTTTGCATCTTCCCCAAAATTGCAGAGGGGAATGCTAGGTGGGTTAGTAAATTTCCAAAGCTGCCACAACCAGAGCTGCTTCGTCTTCAATGGCTGCTTCTACCTCCTCCTCCAAAGAAATATGACGTCTTCCTGAGCTTCAGAGGTGAGAACACCCGCACAAATTTTACAGAAGATTTTATACACAGCTTTGGACCAAAAAAGGATCTTCTTTTTTTTCGTCTTTTTTGCTGAATTTTTTTGTATTCAAAACTTCCCATTTGACATTCTAAGATTCTTGCAAGTTACAAAATTGTCATAATGATCTTGAAGAAGAGCATTATAGAGTGAAAGGAAAACTATAAACTGGACAACTAATAACTAGTGTGAAGGCTAGCTAGCCACCAAGGGGGCAAAGATGAGAGAAGATGCATGCATGGAAGATATGTATGTGGGACCCATCACCCATGTCTGACCTGTCATTGCACACCAAAATGACCTGTTGACAGCATGGAATGAGGACCGAAGTTAATCACATTCCAATCAGGACCGAAGTTAAACAATATGCATGCCAATATATCAGAATATTAGGGCATCTCAAATCTAAGAATTTAGATGATCTTATAGGATCACTTTGTACTTGAGAATATTATAATTCATGTATGCTACGATATGGACATATGAAGAAAACAAATGAGTTTCAAATAATTCTTTACATATAGACATTTCAAATCCATACGTACCACATCTAATTATTTCAATATTTTCAACAAAATGTTTTCTAAGTTCCGTAGCAAATTTAACCTTGTTGTCATATCCAAGTATTTTTTTTCTTTTCAAACTCCTCTATTCCAAAGTTATAGGAGCTATGGCTTCACTTTAAATTTATATGGACAGAATCCTGCAAATATGGAACTTTGATTTTTATTTTTTATTTTTTCCTTCTTCTTTTTCTCATGAATCTCCTTTTTTCTTGTTGCTGAAGTTAGAAGTTGAAGATTTGCTGTGACATCATAGAAACTTTTTATCTTTTTCCCTCTTGAGTTGTTGGTGAAGTAAAAAAGATGGAAACAAATCTTAAACTACAAGCCAGCTTTTACCACAAAATTATTAGGTTAGCAATTTCATCAGCATCCAAAATCTAAAACAACTCATCCAAGATTTTCCACTGAATAAGAGAGTACGAAATTGTAGGGCCTAATCCTCATTGGGGCCCTTTTTTTTATTTATTTATAAATTTAACTCACTACTGAAAATGAGAGTATCTTCTAATGTAACATCATTCTTGATTCAACTTTTCTTTAGTATCCTTCGGGTCTTGGCTTTTTTCTTTTTTTTGCCCTCCTTCATTGCCAAACTCAAATGTATATATAGGATAGCTTTATAATTTCCTCACTAATGAATGTCTATCAAACTAAAATGGCAGACAACAAGGACAATGATACTTTGATAGTTTCATCTAAAAAGAAAGGTCGGTGGCTTGGGGTACTTTTAAGTTTCAACTCGAATTATGAGGACTTATGGCTCAAGTGACAAAATATCAGGGTGTACAACGGACTTATAGCTAAAGCCACCAACGCCATCCTATATGAACCATTTGAAGTCGGCAGTTTCACCAAACTTTTACTGAGCCAGGCCAAACACAACACATACCACATTGTATACCATCTCTCTAATAAAGGTCCCACAAAGATGCGAAACCCATTATACAAGTACATCTTAGAGATGTGGTATAAAAAGATAGCCTACCTAACATATTACTCTATTGGATAAGGGTAAAGCTATGCCATATACTTTTACCCTGTAAATATTGGAATTTCAACTCTTGCCTCTCCTACCAATAAGAAAAATTCTGAACTACAAACAAATTTCTCTGGTTTCGAAAATTTGGCATTTCAAAAAGCATCTCCAAGGGAGATGTCAAATACCAAACATCAAACTTCAATTTGATGGTTGATGTGGCAATTTGACATTTACACATTTTTACACCCCACCTGATATGTCAAATAAATAATTATTGTAACAATCAAGTCATTTAAGATAAAGAAGAAAAAAAGAAAATAATAAATGAAAATAACTATCTTTTAAAAATAATAAAATATTCATTTGGCATCTACTTTTGGGATGTCAAAAATAACATCACAACCTCCAACTTTTATTCCACATCAGCTTTGATACATCTGTTGAAATGATGTAAGATGTTATTTCTAGCTTTTAAATGTCTATGTGACACTTTTGACACATCGGCTGGAGATGCTCTTATGGTTTTTTGTTCTTTTGGGCCATGACTTTCAAACAAACCTACTTCTAACCTAGAAATTTTTTAGCAATGTCGCCAATAAATAAATTACAAAAGAACAAAAAAAACCCAGAAAAATAAATAAATTAAAAAGTATGCGCTCTGTGTTATGTGCGCTCATGAGAAAGAAAGAAAGAGAAGTTGTTTGCAACTTGCAGCTTTCTAGAAAGCATAAAAGTTGTGAAGAAATCGGGGAAGTGAGAAAAAAGAGACAAACACACACCCACATGACTCGTCAGGGACAAGGAAGGTAAAACAATAAACAAAGAAAAGAGGCCAAAATCTGTTCGTCCTTGCCCGATTCTTTTTTCTTTTTTTCTTTTTCTTTTCCATCCATTTCAAAATGACAAACGTTCATTCCTACATCAAATTTTCACGGAGGTGAAATTTTTTCTGAATTTCATGCTCTAAATGCTTCTTTTCCTCCTTCCCTACTTTGCCTTCGCCAATTCTATCCACCACAAAAACTTCATTTTCTTCTCTCTAGAAGAAGAAAAAAAAAGAGAGAGAGAAAATTAACAAAACAAAAAATTGTTGCAAGTATCCACCACTTTAAAAGAAGCTTGCTTCTTGAGAAACCCATGTCCTCCTATCAATAATCTGCACAGAATAACATGATCCAACCATGGCAGATTAGAATTTAGAATCAGAACAATTAAAATCAGAAATAAGATGCATCTCATATTCTTATATGTATATAATTTACATACCATCATGCTTCTTCATCAAATTTCTGGCAAACAACAAAAATATGACTAGAAACCCAACTCCAGCTGCTCCTCCCAAAATGATAGCCACTGTCTTCCCTGTATTTCCTGACCCTGTTTCAATCAAGCACATTCAAAACTCAGATCAATATAATGGAACCATTCTTAGAGAGAGAAACACTAATCTAAGTTACCCAACTTAACAAAAAGCCCTCTTTGACAACCTAACCAGAAATTGGACAAATTGTAAAAACAAAAAGTCATGGCCCCAAATCCAAAAGAACAAAATCTGACTTCCATTTTACCTGATGAAGATGAGGAAGATGATGATGAAGATGAGGAGGATCTCCTGGGAACCCCATTTGGGTAATAACTATAGCTAAGAAAGCACTTGTGGAGATAGATTTGGCCTGAAATGGCACTCCCACATTCAACCTGAGCTCTCTGCACAGCATTCTTCACACACTCACCACAATCTGAGTCTCCCACATCTCCTTGGCACTGCCCTAAGACATAAACTTGTTGGTAATTTGTTGTATAGAAGCCATGGCCACTCACAACACCGTTCTCCAACACTGTATAGGCAGTGTCCCTTCTCTCTTCAAACCCACTTCCAGCAATATTTGTTCCCCCACAAGTCTTGAACAACATTTCCATGCCTGAAATTTGGGCAAAACCAGAGATTTCATAGAGCATGTAGCACCCAATCAGCTGAACCCTAGCAGCAATGGTTTTGCCACAGAGATTATCAGACATTTGTGGCAATTTGCTCACACAGTTGTAACAGTCAGAATTGCTGAGGTCCCCTCTGCATTGAAAGAGACCAGAGATGGTGGTTTGGCCACTGCCAGAGTTGGTTTTGAAAAACTTGGCCTTGGTGGACTGTTGAACCAAAGACCCAAAAAGGGCTGAGAGGGATTGAGAGTAAACCCCAGTTGGATCTGAAAAGGTCTGCTTTGCACAGCCCTTGTAGACCAAGGAGGTGATATCAGTAGCAGATTCAGCAAGTGGGATGATGAGCTGAAGACTGAAGAAGAACAAAAGCAAATACAGGAAGAAATTGGGAACAGGTTTTGAGAGAAAACCCATTTGCTGTGTTCCTTTTTGTATCAAATCATGTCAGTTTTTGGAAGGTCTGGGAGGTGTTTTTGGGGGTTTTGAGAGAAACCCAGCTGACCTGAGAGCTGAGTAAAGGTTGAAGCTTTGTGCTTAAACTGTGATTTTTGTGCTTCTTTTTGCTGAAAAAGTTCGGGTTTTTGGCTTCGGCTTTGGTTTTGGTTTTGGTTTCTGGTTTTGTATGGTGCAGAGCAGTGGTGCCTGGGATTTTCCCCTTCTCTTTGGCTTTGGATGGCCTACCTCTCTGTACATGGCAGGGGCAAGGGGTATCTCTTTTCACACCGGGGTCCAGAAAATGTACATTGTATAATTGATGGTAGAGTAGTAAATAAATTATTATTATGGGGAGAATGGACAATTAGCTTTATTTTAAGCAGTATTTAAATTTTGAAGAGAATGAGAACAAAATGGTATATATAAAATAATAATCTCGAAAGGAGAATAAATATTCCCTGTTTAAAGAAGGTTTTGGGTTGGGAAGCAGAAGCAGTATGAAAGAAAAGGATTCTGATTTTGGGGGAGAAGAAAGTAATGAACTTTGACTGAAGTACATCATATTTTGAGTAATTGAAGGGTAGATCGTGGGGTCCAGGAGATCAGTGGTCCTTATTATAAGTTTGGATGTAGGCCCATCGGCCTAAAATCTGCAAAAGACTAGGTTAACTTGGAGGCAAAGCCTCTTTACAAAATTTTGATTCATTTGTAATTGGTATGCTCGTACCATTCTTGCCTTACATGTTGCATTGTGATGATGATTTGTTCACCTTTCTCAAATATCACTAGTTCACAATCACAAGTACCAAAACATATAATTGTATTTTTTTCCATAATTCATGAGATATGATACATGGACCTTGGTACGCCCATTTAATAACTTTATGTGGCATGTTTACTTATTCAGAATGAGTATTATAATTATTCTGATTCATGACTTCATCTAAGTTTACTAACACATAGATATTTGAATTCTTATGCTTCTTGATTTTCTTTGCGTTTACCAACACGTAATGAGTCAAAACTCAAAACTATGTGGGTTACACATTAGAATCCGTAATCCAATACCTGAAAAAACAGAAATTAAATTGATTATGAGGGAGTAGTTTATCATACCCATTTGAACTCACATCTCCACTTATCTCAAGCCATGTAAAAGAGTTAATATGCAAAAGTAAAACGCTAGCTCCAATACTTCTCATCTACTTTATTTTTGATAATGTTATTTACACTTCAAAAGTTATTGCACGCACTCCTCATGTATGAAAGGAGTGCGAGAAAGGTAGATGTGGCGTGCATATATCACTTACTTCCCCTTTTTTCTCATGCTTTCTTTAAATGGGAAGTTAGATTCTTTTTTTATTATAATCCTGTATTTGTTTACTTTCCACTGTTTACATCATGTGGCTTGTAGGAGATTTTATGACATATATATATATATATATATATATATATATATATAATTTATGCAAGGAGGAGCCTTTAGCTGTACAAGTTGGGCTTTTTGAAAGCGAAAAGAATTAAGTAAATAAATAAGAAAGCTTTTGATGCATATAGATATAGCTGCCAAATTAAAAGAATTAGGCCCTTTTAGTTTTAGAGCACATGTTGCAGGATGGAAGAAGATTGCATTGCCTGTTTTTATGTTGGATCCATCCATGTTTAATTAACTAAACTACAAGCCCTAAGTACATAATTTTCTTTTAAATACATCATAAACATGGGAAACTATAATTTGCTTGACCTACAATTAAGGTGGAGTAAACTCTAGGCAAAGTATTTTTTTTTTTCCCCTCTAATTGAGTATATAATAATGCTTTATAAGACAATCATGCCACCAATGTCAAATTGGATACAACTGGCTATATGAAAAAGGAAATTGGAATACCAAAAGCCAATTTTGGTGTATCTCGATTGGTGTAAGTATTATGACTCTAGTTAATAAATCTGTGTATTATATCCGTATGTACGTATTTTTTTAAAAATATTTGTGTTTCCATATACTATAAGGGCAGACCCACAGCCAAGGCTGTGGTCCACCAACAACAATACATTAGGGATTTTTTCTTTCTTTCTCAAGTCTGTTTGCTTTGCATTCCCTTTTGGCGGTGTTTAATGAAATATCCTTTTTTGACCAAAGAAAAAGGGAAAGCTCTTTAACATGGACTCAATAAAAACCCTCGCAAGTTCTTCAACCCAGAATTGCAGACGGAGTAAGTAATTGAAACTCACAGGTGGGAAGAGGCTTTCAAAGACAGAACAGTATGTTAACTTAATTCTATTGTTCTTGTGTTTACAACGATTATATATGTGAAGCTTAATTATTTATATCTTTTGCACTTTGTATTTGTGAAGCTTATTCGGTTGATGCCAAGAGATTCAAATGGATTCGAACTGCAAAGGTATGATTTGAAGTTTATTGAAATTTAGTCAATAGAGTTAGACTACATAAATAAATGCTGGCAGAAAACACCACCACTTTCGACTTGGATAGCTTGATGGGAATTAAACACTGGCGTTGCTATATTTAATGTGTTGCATTCAAGTCTACATATTAATTATGTGCGTGATTTAAGCTTGAGGGAGCGCTTCAAGGTCTCTTCTATTTCGTGAGTATTGATAGAGATAGAGACCACAAAGATTTATGATGCAAGGGATAGGTATCCTCCTATTGCTTGGATTGGAACCCAATTTGCAAAGCTTAAATGATTACGAGTTGTAGCTCAAGTAATTAAGAGTATTTACCCTGCACCTAAGGTTTTAGATTCGATTTCCTCATCTTTTATATGATTGTATAGAAATTTTGAAGACTTTAATTTGACTTCTTTAACAAAATTAAATTGAAAAATCTTAACTCAACCTCAGACTCAATGAATTTAGTTGGTCAATCGAAAGTATCCAAATTCTAACTCATATTGTTCCACATTACTTTTGTAGACAACTGAAGATAAATTTATTTGGAGTCTTAATCCTAGTGGAAGCTTTTGTGTTAATTCTCCAACTTTGAATTGAAATGGAATTCCCCCTTAACGAGTAGGAAGCCGTTGGCTAAAAACGACATGCCGTTCATAACAAAGAAGCCGTTGGTTGCGCGTTGACATCTGACTTGGCAAAACGTCACAATTTGCTAAGTGGCGTGATCAACTGTGACTGCCTTCAAGAAATCATCAGTCTAAAACTTGAGCCTCTTTGACCTGACGAATGATTCCTTCCACGTTCCTCCTTTCCACCATCATATTGGATTATAGAATAAGAGAGAACCCAGAGAGCAATTATTTTTTTGTTGAAAAATCCAGAAAGCAAAGTCCCAACTTTTTGAATATTCCCAAAATTCAGAGCCATTGACTTCATGGTCCAACCCCATTTGGGCATTTGGACCCTCCTCTCTATACTTCTCTCAACACCTGAAGAAGCTCTCAGAAGTGAGAGAAGAAGAGGAAAAAAGAAATGGGTTTGTGTTCGTTTTTCATTTTATTTAGCTTTCTCTGTCTTTTGGGTTCTTTGTTTGGATTATGTTGTTAGAAAGTAGAATTTCTGAAATGGGTTTGTGTTCATTTTTCATTTTATTTAGCTTGCTTTGTCTTTTGGGTTCTTTGTTTGGATGGATTATGTTGTTAGAAAGTAGAATTTCTGAAATGGGTTTTCTTGTTTCTCTCTGGAATCTTGAAGTGTACCCGAAGGTGAAGGTCAGGCAACAAGAAGACCAAGATGATCGTCGTGCCGTCATTGATTTTTGTTTCCCAGGTTTTCCTTCAATCCTGTATTTCCAAGTTTGGAAACTTTAATCAATTTACAAAATTTTGCTTTCTGAGTTCTATTTCAGTCCTGGTTTATTGTTATCCATGGAGTATTGAGTAAGAGGACTTTTGAAGCTTCCTGCTTTATAAATTGCGGTTGTTTTACTCATGGATTTTGTCATTTCTACCACAGAATTGAGCTCTGAAACTTTGATTGCTCAGTCTCATTTGTATCTTTGAATTCATTTGTAATAATAACTTTTATATTTACAATTGTTCTTAAATTTGCAGTTGTCAAGTTGAAGAAAGTGTAAAGAAACCTTTTTGTTTCATTTCATTCCTGTTTCATTGTAATACTGAGCATGAGAATTGCACAAAAAAAATGTGAGAAGAAAATGGAAATTCATGATCTCTATTGATAACAAAACTCTCTCTTATAAAAATATACAAATGGTCTATACTCTTTAGAACTATGATTAAACATACATGCTAGGGTCCAGAAAAGTGTGACATGCGATATTCTGTGTATTGGAATGAGGAAGAATGTACTTTATTATAATCCAGTTTGCTATTTGTTTAGGTGATCGGTTTATCAGTTTAGGATTGGCATGCGTATCACTTCCAAGTTAAGGAAAGTGGTAGATTGAATACCTACATTAAAGCCCTAGGAAAATGTTTATTAGTCCTCATGATTCATTATTGGTTTTCCAGACAAATTTCGTCCATGTGGCTTGACCTTTGTAGATGAAGCTCAGGCCGTTGGTTCAGTATATGTTTTTTCTCAGAAAAAGTCTCAGTTTAAATGTCTGATTTCAGCTTGAGTTATCAGAGCTTGTATTGTTGATTTACTCCTTTGACCAATCCTTACTCTGGAGCAATGATGCCATTCTTTTAAAATACTACCTCACTATAGAAGCATTACTTCCCTTCCTCTTTCGCTTTACCTATTTTAATGTTAGGATAAAATGTTTGTTCATATCATTTTTTATTTTTCCTGAGGATTTATTGGTCATTGGGTAATTTGACATTTGATTTTTTCTACAGAGAAGGAGCACCAAGATGTTTCTCCCCCCACTATTGCAAGAATTCCAAAATCTTATGTCCCAAGTGTAGTGATGCCATCAATATCTGTAGCTGAAGGTTTAGTTACAAAATCATATGCTTCGTGACAATACAGATTCTATCATATTTATTAGGGGGAAAAAGATTTTCTTTCTGTATGGTATGTCTTCCAGTTTTGACATTTGAATGTGTCTTTTGACAGGAGAAATGAAGGACAGTAAAATGGAAGAGCTGAGTAAACAAAATATTAGAGCCAGCTCAATCCCAAGGCCTCGTGCTGTCTTATCAAGTCCTGGTAATTTATCTTCCTTTTTAATCTATATCAAGGTATTTCTTGCAATCAGGCGTTGTGATTTACACTTATCTAACTGCTATCATGATATGGACTCTCAACTCTTAATGAGCAGATATTGTACAGTAAGTGTAAAATTGAAAAGCTGAGGATGGGGTCATTGATAATTATACTGGATCCTACTTTTTGGTTCTGGGAGACAGTTTGTTGGCTATATTATGCTGACCGTCCATTGCACAACAGAACATGGCAGATGCTTAATAATTAGCCATTGTCTGATATCCAATGAACGCCTCAAAGTGCTGGGGGCGATGTAATCATATTTGGCTAATCTCTAAATAATTAAGATGTTTCTTTCTGATAGATTGAAGAAATTAGCATACTGATAAACACTGAGTCTGATATGTAGTACTTGAAACGGCAGCACGTTCCTAATCCTAGGCTGTGTGGGCGTTTCAGCAGCATTAGTAATCTATTTAAAAATATGATCAACATCTTGTACAATTGCTTACCTTTCTGTGTGGTTATTTTGTTTCAGAAAATGATACAGTGATCGGAAATAAAAACAGGATCAAAGCAGAACGACCATCAGCTTTGAAGAATCATAACTTGGTTAAGAAACCTACACAATGTGTTCCACGCCATATTACTGAAAATTCTACAAAAACCAAAAAGTCCAAGGATGAGAACTCTCTTAAAGAAAGGAAAGGGTCAGAGATAACACTTCCAAGCCAGAGACGACCCCCTAGAAATGGAAAACCAAGCTCTGCGGGAAATCGAGTGTCTTTTAGTTGCCATTAGTTTGGCACTCTTACTTGAATGAATTACTCTGATACATAATAGATCTTCCTGTTTGTTCATGAAACAGCATGAGATTTTTTGTAACCAGGGATGTAACTATTAGATCAGTGCTCATAATCGAGTGAACTACTGTTTCTAAATTGGGTCTGCCTTCTTTTATTGCAATATCATGTGGTTTGTTTGTAATTACAAATTGCCTTTCATAGCAAGAACCTTATACTGTGTTTAAAAAATTAAAAACCAAGTATAGCCGCACGGCTGTACTATTTCTCAGAAAAAATGTAACAAGCCGAGTATCGCCGTCCGGCTATACTATTTATCTTTTTTAAAAATTTAGGAACAAACCGAGTATAGCCTATTTCTTTTAAAAGTATTAAAAACCGAGTATAGCCGAGCGGCTGTACTATTCTTAAAAAATAAATAAATAACCGCGTATAGCCGGTCGGCTATACTACTATAAAAAATTTAAAAACCAAGTATAGCCGCCCCCGGCTATACTATTTATTTTTTATAAAAAGAACAAAACCAAGTATAGCCGGTCGGCTATACTATTTCTTTTCGAAAAATTAGGAAAAAGCCGAGTATAGCCGCCCACCTTTGTGTTGATGTGTCAATAAAAACAACAAAAATTCCTTAAAATAATTCGGGGACCTCCTTACTTGTCCCCAATTTTAACCCGAAATCGGAACCCGGTACGACGGGGATTTTTGTCATCACTAGTTGAGGTTCATCAATGGCAGTTCCTGGTGGTGGGTTCTGCCTTATTATTTTCTCCAAGTTAATCTCCATCGGATGATAGCGGTGGTGGTTTGATTTCTCATCTCTATCTTTTTATTTTCTGAACCCACAGGATTTTCCCAACTCGATTATAAATATTCCAGTTGAGATCAGGAAAGCAAAAGAATCAAAACCCTGCAACAACGCCTGAGCTTCAGAGCTTGTATTTGATTTCTTTAGGTATGCTTTCAACTTCCCATCAATGTTCTAATCCCTTTTGATTTTTGGGTTTTTTTAACTTTCATCTCATATACCGTTGAAAGTTTGGGTTTTTTTCTGTTTACAATTGCATTGTCGATTACAGTTTTTCTGATGTCGTGATATCATCTTATTCATCGATCTCATCGTCTTTGCATTTTTGCTACCTGATTTTGATTTCTGAAACCCTAATTTTTTCAAATTTCTCAAAATTCTTGGTTCCCAAACACCCTCCTGACATCATTTTCATCTTCTTTTTGGCTCTGTTGATGTTTCAAATTGCTGGTCGTAGTTTTCTGGGTGTTACTTAATTTTCGAGTACTTATATTTATTCGAAGACCATATGAATCGTTGCTAAGTTGTGCAGTATCTGGTGGCTATATTATTTCGGTTTTCAATAAAAGGAAAAATCCTAGTATAGCCGCGCGGCCATACTATTTATTTTAAAATTATTAAAATACATTCACAAAGGGTCTTGCCCTTTAAGTTTATGGGGTGGTAAAATTGCACAAACACCAGAGGAATGATTCCTTGCACGTTCCTACTTTCCATCATCATTAGATTATAGAACAAGAGGGAGACCCAGAAAGCAATTTAGTCCCATCTCTTTGAACAATCCCAAAATTCAGAGCCATTCACTTCATGGTCCTAAACACCAATGACTGAAGAAGCTCAGGCCATTAGTTCAGTATATGTTTTCGTTCAGACAAAAGAAGTCTCAGTTTAAATGTTTGATTTCAGTTTGAGTAATCAGAGCTTGTATTGTTAATTTACCCCTATGACCAATCATATCATATGCAATGTAATGGTTTCTATGTGGCTTGCTATATAACCAAGGACCTGGAAAAGAAAATATCAAGGGTGAGAAAATACCGATTTCAGCCCTTGCAGGTATTGCTTTCTTCTCAAGTAGTTCCCAACTCTCATTCTCATTGAGTGGCTGGGGTTGGTGGATATAAGCATTTCTATTTGGGAGTGAAGCTACTGCTTGATTCCGTGTAGTAAGCAATATTGTGCTCTCTGTTTCCACATTTGGAAATGCAATTTCCAAAAGATTCCATGCCTCGGTTCTCCATATGTCATCAAGTATCACCAAACATCTCATTTCTTGCAGAACATGGAAAAGCTTCTTTGCTATTTCATCATCTGTCATGTCCTTAATTTCTTGTTTTTGTTCCCAGGTAGCAGAAATGAGTTCAATTAAAATTCCTTCCCAAACATTTCTGACTTGAAAACGTTGAGATACACAGACCCAGGCAAAACTATGAAAATGCTGCCTTACTTTTTTGTGATGATAAACCTTTCTTGCAAGGGTGGTCTTCCCTAAACCGCCCATACCCCAAACAGATACAACTCGATGACGGTTTTCATCTTTCACTAAATGCATAACCAATTCTTCAACGTTGGACTCTAACCCAACAACATCACGTTCAACAACATGAGAATAGGTTCTCCTTAGCCTCTCATGCAATTGCAAGGAAGATTCACCACCACGGCTGTCCCTGTCCCTTATTTCCTTTATGTTATAACTCTGCAAATTCGATCTCAACGCAGAAATTTTAGTAGTGATATTCTCAATTTCTGCCCCAATCCTGTGAACATCAACCCATTCCTTGAAGATGCAGGCAAATCTTTTGAGAACATTCTTGAGGCCTCTTTTCTTCTTCTTGGAATCCACTTTCAAGCCATAAGTTTCAATAATATCTTCCAAATCATAAGCCGCATCTCTAATTTTGGCAACACAAATCTGGACTCTTGTATCTTGTCCTTGTCTTGCATCTGCATCTTTGAGGAATCCCTGCATGAATTCTAGCTCAGTTTGTGCAGCTTCAACTTGACGGCTGACTCCAGACAAGAACTTGGCTTCCTGAATGGTGAAGTCTCTGACACTTTCGAGCACAACGGAAACAACTGCCTCAGCCATTCTCTCTACTGCTTACTCTCTCTTTGCCAAAACGAAAACAACAACTAAACCTTCAGATTTAGTTTGCAGATTGATGATCGATGAAATCTTCTCTCAACTGTTTTCGTTTATATGTATGAAATGTGGCCAATAAACTAAACCAAAAGATAAATAGTTTGCCAAAACCACTTTGTCATTTTCGTATCTTTCTTTAATTTGTCAGAAAAGAAAAGAAACTCGAATCAATTCAAGTTGTGTTCCACAGTTCTTTCTCATCCGAGAGAAATTCTTATCTTCTAATAAAATTATTCAGTGTTCTTTTCTAATATCACTTTATTCTTATCTTCTGAAATGAAGAAAACAACTGCCTCAGCCATTCTCTCTACTACTTACTCTCTCTTCGCCAAAATGAAAACAAGTAAACCAGATCGGTTTTTAGATTGATTGATGAGAATATCTCTTTATCGGTAGATCTATGCTGGATGTTCAAAATCATCAGAAATAGCAGGCTCCCTTCATCACTAAGATAAGGTAGTCAAGCATCTGATAGATCGAATTAGAACAAGGATGTGCTTTATCAGCAACATAGAAACAACGAGTCTTTGAATTAATGCTTATCCAGCTGCACCCAGGTGCCTTCTTCAAACCTCTTTCTTTCATCATTCTTCTTCTCATTTCAGCTACAACGTCCCGCCTCCTAGAAGAGACATAGAAGTTCGATAGCGAAATATAATTTGAAGGGTTTTTGGGTTCTAGTTGAATAAGGAACCTGTAAGCTAGATCTTGCATGTCACGATTCTCATGCAACACAGAAGCAGTAACTAAAGACCCCCAAACACTTGGACCAGGTTCTACAGTACAGACATCGTTCTGGGAGACAGTTTGTTGGCTATTATGCTGACTGTTCAGTATACAACAGAACATGGCAGACGCTAGCTTAATAATTAGCTATTGTCTGATATCCAATGAACCCCTCAAACTGATGGGGTGATGTAGTCATATTTGTCTAATCCCCAAATATTTAAGATGTTTCTTTCTGATAGATTGGAGAAATTACCATAAAATAAACTGATAAACGTTCTGAGTCCGATATTGAAACAGCAGCATGTTCCTATGTCTATCACAGAACTGAGCTCTGAAAGTTTGCTTGTTTGTCTCATTTGTTTATGCTTAGAATTGTTCTTAGATTTGCAGTTGTTAAGTTGAAGAAACTGTAAAGGAACTTTTTGGTTTCACTTCATTCCTTTTTTGTAATACTGAGCATGAAAATTGCATACACACAAAAAGACAAGAGACAACTAAAATGGATGTTCATTATCTCTGTTGATATCAAGCCTCTCTCTTGCAAAAATATACAAATGGTCTGTACTCTTTAGAACTGTGATTAAACCTACATGGAGGATCAGGAAAAGTGTGTCATGCGATATTCCCTGCATTTGGAATGAGGAAGACAGGGTATAGCCGTCCGGCTATACTATTTCTTAGAAAAAAACACTATATAGCCGAGCGGCTATACTATTTCTTTTTAAATTATTTAGAAAACCGAGTATAGCCTACCCGGCTGTACTATTTCCTTTTTTTAAAAAAATGCTTAATATCACAAAACGTCCTTGAGGTTTACGAAACTATCAAATTGCATCTTTTTGTGTCATTCGTGGTCAAAGTTTGTATCGTTAATGAAGCTCAGGCCATTAGTTCAGTATATGTTTTCGTTCAGACAAAAGAAGTCTCAGTTTAAATGTTTAATTTCAGTTTGAGTTATCACATCTTGTATTGTTGATTTACACCTATGACCAATCCCTACTACTCCAGATAAATGAAAATGGAAATTCACGTTCTCTGTCGGTCTCACTCTCTCTCGCAAAAATATACAAATGGTCTGTACTCTTTAACTCTGCAATTATGCATACATGGTAGGGTCATGAAAGTGTGTCATGCCAAATTCCATACATTTGAAATGAAGAAGAACGTACTTTATTATAATTAGACTTCTGTTTCTTATTTATTTAGGCGATCAGTTTATCAGTTGATTCCAATCAGTGTGAACTCGGGATATAAAAGTTTGTGATATGTTTTCCTAAGACAAAATTGGTGTTATCCCTCGTTATATGTAACTACAAGTATCTGTTCATTCCAATCAGTGTGAACAAGGGATATAAAAGTTTGTGATATGTTTTCCTCAGACAAACGAAGTCTCAGTTTAAATGTCTGATTTCCGATTGAGTTTTTGGAGCTTGTTTGATTGATTTACTCCTATGATCAATCCTTACTCCAAAAGAATGATGCAATTCCTTAATGTTAGGAAAGAATGTTTGTTCATCCTTTTATTTTTCTGGAGTATTTAGTGGTCATTGGGTGATTTGACATTGGATTTTATCTACAGAGGAACACCAAGATGTTTCTCCACCCATTGTTGCAAGAATTCCAAAATCTTGTGTCACAAGTGTATTGATGCCATCAATATCTGTAGCTGAAGGTTTAGTTACATAATCATATGCTTAGTGACAATACAAATCTCATTTCTATCTATCACATTAGAGAGAAAAATATGTCTCTTCTGTATGGTTTAGCTTCCAGTTTTGACATTTGAATCTCTCTTTTTGGCAGGAGAAACGAAGGACAGTAAAATGGAAGAGAAGGTAAACAAAATATTAGAGCCAGCTCAATCCCTATGCCATGTGCTTTCTTATCAAGTCCTGGTAATTTCTCGTTCGTCCCGTATGGTATTTCTTGCAATCAGGCTTTGTGCTTTAGACTTATCTATAGCTGATCCCGTGATATGGATTCTCAAGAACTTGGCATGGACCCTTCTAAGAATAATACTCTTATGATGAACAGATATTGTACTTGATGATAATACTGGATCCTACTTTTTGGTTCTGGGACATGATAGTCTTCATTACCAAGAATTTGTTACCATTGATCTCCAAGGAACACCTAAATCCTAAATAATTAAGATGTTTCTTTCTGATAGATTGAGGAAATTACCATATGTAGTACTTGAAACAGCAGCATGTTCCAAATCCTAGGTTGTATGGACGTTTCAGCAGCATTAGTGTATCTATTTGAAAATATGATCAACATCTTGTGCAATCTATTTGCTTGTGTTTGGTCATTTTGTTTCAGAAAATGAGCGGTGATCGGAAATAAAAACAGGATCAAAGCAGAACGAGCATCAGCTCTGAAGAATCATAACTTCGTTAAGAACAGACTTACACAAACAATGTGTTTCATGCCATATTACTGAAAATTCTACAAAAACCATAAAGTCCAAGGATGAGAACTCTCCAAAGGAAAGGATCAGAGATAACACTTCCAAGCCAGGGACGACACACTAGAACTGGAAAACCAAGCTCTACGCGAAATCGAGTGTCTTACTTGAATGAATTACATTGATGGTGTGTTTAGTAATTAGGAATTGTAATTCTCATGAGAAATTGAATTCCGTATATGGAGAATTCCTACGTTTACTTCACATCAAGGAATTGAAAAGTAAATGGGGCCCACACGAAATTAGAAATTGAATTCTTGATTTTGGAAGAATTATTCTTGGGTGAGAGGTGATATTATAATTCCTAGAGAACTAACCCATTATGAGTTCATCTTGTTTACCCATTATATCCTCACACAATATTCAAAATTTCAAATTTGCTATCTACTTTAACCTAACAATGAGGACATTTGAGTAATTAGTACCACTCATATTCCAATTCCATATGGTTTAGTAAACAACTTCAATAAGAATCTGGAATCTAACTTCCCTCAATTCATATGATTTAGTAAACAACTTCAATAAGAATCCGGAATCTAACTCCCCTCAATCCATATGGTTTAGTAAACAACTTCAATAGGAATCCGAATCTCCTCAATCCAACTCCTCCTCAATTCAATTCATTCTAATTCAATTACGGATTAGTAAACATGCCATGAGTGTTTACTAATCAGGAATTGGAATTCTCATCATGGATTGAATTTAACATATGGAGGATTCCTATGTTTACTTCACATCAAGGAATTGAAAGTAAGTGGGGCTCACACAAAATTAGGAATTGAATTCTTGGGTGGGATGTGATATTCTAATTCCTGGAGAAGTAACCCATTATGAATTTTTTTTTTATTTTTTATACCCATTATATCATCACACAATTTTAAAAATTCAAAATTTGTCATCTACTTTAACCTAACAACGACGACATTTTACTACTTAGTACCACTTCTATTCAAATTCCATATGGTTTAGTAAACATTTTCAATAGAAATCTGAAATCTAACTCCCCTCAATCCATATGGTTTAATATACAACTTCAATAGGAATTCGAAATCTAATTCTCCTCAATCCAACATTTTTGTGTGTGGACAAACTGGTACTTGAATAAAACCAAGGAAATTTTAGTATAATACGATCATTTCAGTTGTGTAATATAAATGTACTGTTGGACAACATCTTTGCTCCTCTTGATTTCACAGAGCATTTCTTGACCACATCTCCAGGAACATGCTCCCTCTGCTGCAGAGCTTCGACATACTTTCTCAATATCAGTTCCTACCTGCAGCTAGCTACAATAACACAAATTCAGCAGTTTACTTGTCAAAACGTGCATTCCAAAATGAATATATATATAGTAGTAATATCGTACCACATTTTGAAAATAAAAACACTCATTTCAATCTAGTACTCTTGTATGTAATAGTTTATCCAGTATGCCAAAAAAGAGAGTATATATAGACTGGAGCTTTCTAATTGTTGTTCGCGTAGCAATGGAAAGATTCTCCATTTCAAAGATTCTGAAATGCACATAAATATTCAACGTACTCTTACTTGATTGACTTCAAAAGGAACATCTAAATCTAACGGTCATGTATTTTAAGATTTTGGAATGCGATAGAATTATCATATTAAAGTTTATAAGTAATAAAATAAGGAAATTTAACCTGTTGGCTTTTACATTAAAGTTTCTCACTCACAACTCACAAGCACAATCAAAAAAGCAATCAAAATGGACAAAGAAAACAAATCAAATATTATTATAAGATATTTGGCCTCAAAGTAAGGAATTTTAAGCTTCTCACTCACAACACAAGTCACAAGCACAAGCAAAAAGCAATAAAAATGGAGAAAGAAAACATAGCTAAACAAGGGAGCCCATATTCTGTTGGCTTTTCTACTTTAATATTCTCTCGATGCTTCATTTTATAACTGATCAACACAAACCAAACCACCCATTTCGCTTTAAAATTAAACAATTAAAGGAAAGAAATTACCTTGCCATCATTGCATCAGTGATGGTTCTTCAATTACAAGGGAAGGTACATGTTGAATTTTATAGAAATCCTCTCCATCTTCCTCAATCCGACGGTGGAGTTCTCTACGCATCCCTCTTATGGTTAATTCCCTGAGATTAGTAAGATATCTCAGCCCATCTGGAAGTGTAGTCAATCCCAAGCAATACGTGATGTTCAATCGACAGAGACAAGGCATGGCTCCTTCCTCTACTCTCCACTCTGTTATTCCCAACATACCAGTAACGAAAAGAAATTCAAGAGAAGGAAAGCCTCCTTTGGAGAAAACCATTATCTTTGTATTCTCCTCGAAAGCTTCTTGAAAAAGCTTCAAAATTGTTAGGTTTGGCAGCTTCCCTAGTATTCCCATTTGGTCCTCCTTGAGACCACAACTCCCCAATACTAACTTGGTGAGGTTTGGATAGTTGTGGGGCTCTTTCGGTAATTCTGCAATTGGCCCATTCAGCGTCAATTTGTATATACCCCGACAGCTTGATACTATCTGCATAGCTTGCTTTGCACCGCTATTCGTTCCAGAAGTGTTCCAAAAAATTAGAGACCGGATACGGTTAAGCGTACTGCCTGTAGATTTTAAGATTTCCTCCAGATTTTGCAAAGAGCTTGACAGACTTATTTTCAGTTTTCTAAGATTGGTTAATCTACCAACATCTTTCAAATCACAATACTCGCTTGAAAAGTTATATAAGGTCTGTAGATGGCCAAGAGTAGACAGCTCCAGCTTACCCTTTGCTCTGTACCCCCAGGGTAAATATAAATGTCTTAATTGTTTCATCTTCTTTATCACATTTGGGACGACCACATTGTCATTCCGAACACAACAATCAAGAGTTTGCAAGCATACTAAATTACCTAGGGATGGCGGAAGCGTTTTTATTTGGCTCAACCTCACACTTAGAAACCTTAAGTGTACCATATTTCCAATTTCACTTGGCAACTCAACTTCTACTTCATTAAGACCTTCCACCTTCAAAACTCTAAGCACTTTGAAATCCATCAATGGAGATAGTAATCCTTTTTCACCTTTTGGAATCCATTCTTCTAGGCCAAAGAATAATAGAGACCTTACGTGCCCATTTGTTTCATCTCTTGAAGAAACCAACCTATCTGCCTTCTCATCCACGTAAATTGCAAGTCTTCGAATTTTCCCCAATTGTTCTGCCTCGGCTGCCACAGAATAAGTATTTTCTTGCATTTGGAGGAAGCTTTCCTCATTTGCCTTAAACAAACACATGTCTCGTACAAGATCATGGATTCGACAACCTTTAATTGTTCCTGTTGAGCCACTTGTTCCCACTTGAACCAAACACCTTTCCACCAACTCACTTAAGCAATCACGTGCTATATCCTCCATTGTTTTCCTCGAACCATGTCTTTGTTGTCTCAAGGAGATAAGACCTTCTGCCACCCATAACTTAGTCAATTCGCTCACCAAAAACTCATAGTCTTCAGGATAATGACCTAAATATAAAAAACATGGTTTTAAGTAATACGGTAGGTCATCATAACTCAATGCCAACACTCTTGATACACCTTCATATTCTTCTTCTTGTCTGATGCCTCTGCTTATGTATTCATGAACATTCTCTAACACTCTCTCCCATTCTCTAATGGAGTTTTTTCTGGCTAAAACTCCGGCAAGCACAATAATGGCTAATGGCAAACCTTTACAATGTTGAAGCATCTTCCTTCCTAAGTCTCTGTACATTCCCAAGTCTGAAAAATAGGATGAAAAAAAAAATTCAAATACGGACTTGTAGTGTGAGCAGTCTTAGTGGATATTCCTTGCTCGAATGATTTAAAATTAAAATTGTGAAATCCCGAAATTTATTGATATCCTTTATCTAATATAAGTTTGGATTTGCTAATACATGCCAAATGGAGAACATTTAAAAATTAAATCTGCACCAACACAGAAAACGTATGGGATATCGTTGGATGGAAGAGAAGGTTGGGAGAAAATTTTGAATTAGCTAGCATTGTCCTGATTATTATTTGCAATTGCATAAGATAAATTACCATCCATCTTGCTACCTGACAAATGAGTGACCCCAAAAAAAAATTGTGTAACCAAGTAAGGCAGTCAATAAAATTGAAAAAAGAAATTAAAGGGTAATCCCAACAATGACTGGAAAAAGAAAAAACAAAACATAAGTTGTGTCTTAAGCAATGTACTGGTTTCTATGTGGCTTGCTATATAACTAAGAACCTGGAAAAGAAAAGAGTAAGGGTGAGAATTACCGATATCAGCCCTTCCAGATATTGCTATCTTCTCAAATAGTTCCCAGCTCTTTTTCTCATTTAGTGCCTGGAGTTCGTGGAGAAAAGCATTTCTATTCGGGGGCAAAGCTACTGCTTGATTGCGTGTTGTAAGCAATATTGTGCTCTCTGTTTTCACATTTGGAAATGCATCCTTCAAAAGATTCCATGTCTCGATTCTCCATATGTCATCAAGTATCACCAAACATCTCATTTCTTGCAGAACAAGGAAAAGCTTCTTTGCTATTTCATCATCTGTCATGTCCTTAATTTCTTGTTTTTGTTCCTTGGTAGCAGAAATGAGTTCAATTAAAATTCCTTCCCAAACATTTCTGACTTGAAAACGTTGAGATACACAGACCCAAGCAAAACTATGAAAATGTTGCCTTACTTTTTTGTCATGATAAAGCTGTCTTGCAAGGGTGGGAACCGCCCATACCCCAAACAGATACAACTTGATGACGGTTTTCATCTTTCACCAAATGCATAACCAATTCTTCAACGTTGGACTCTAACCCAACAACATCACGTTCAACAACATGAGAATAGGTTCTCCTTAGCCTCTCATGCAATTGCAAGGAAGATTCACCACCACTACTTTCTCTTGTTTCCTTTATGTCATACTTCTGCAAACTTGATCTCAAATCAGAAATTCTGGTGGTGATATTCTCAATTTCGTTCCCAATCCTGTGAACATCAACCCATTCCTTGAAGATGCAGGCAAATCTTTTGAGAACATTCTTGAGGCCTCTTTTCTTCTTCTTGGAATCCACTTTCAAGCCATAAGTTTCAATAATATCTTCCAAATCATAAGCCGCATCTCTAATTCTGGCAACACAAATCTGGACTCTTGTATCTTGTCCTTGTCTTGCATCTGCATCTTTGAGGAATCCCTGCATGAATTCTAGCTCAGTTTGTGCAGCTTCAACTTGACGGCTGACTCCAGACAAGAACTTGGCTTCCTGAATGGTGAAGTCTCTGACACTTTCGAGCACAACGGAAACAACTGCCTCAGCCATTCTCTCTACTACTTACTCTCTCTTGGCCAAAACGAAAACAACAACTAAACCTTCAGATTTAGTTTGCAGATTGATGATCGATGAAATCTTCTCTGAACTGTTTTCGACTATATGTATGAAATGTGGCCAATAAACTAAACCAAAAGATAAATAGTTTGCCAAAACCACTTTGTCATTTTCGTATCTTTCTTTTCTTTGTCAGAAAAGAAAAGAAACTCGAATCAATGCAAGTTGTGTTCCACAGTTCTTTCTCATCCGAGAGAAATTCTTGGGTAGTAAGATCACTCAAATAAAATTATTCGGTGTTCTTTCTAATCATCACTTTAAAGAAAACAACTGCCTCAGCCATTCTCTCTATGAGAATATCTCTTTGTCGGTAGATCTATGCTGGATGTTTAAAATCATCAGGAATAGCAGGCTCCCTTCATCACTAAGATAAGGTAGTCAAGCATCTGATAGATCGAATTAGAACAAGGATGTGCTTTATCAGCAACATAGAAACAACGAGTCTTTGAATTAATGCTTATCCAGCTGCACCCAGGTGCCTTCTTCAAACCTCTTTCTTTCATCATTCTTCTTCTCATTTCAGCTACAACGTCCCGCCTCCTAGAAGAGACATAGAAGTTCGATAGCGAAATATAATTTGAAGGGTTTTTGGGTTCTAGTTGAATAAGGAACCTGTAAGCTAGATCTTGCATGTCACGATTCTCATGCAACACAGAAGCAGTAACTAAAGACCCCCAAACACTTGGACCAGGTTCTACAGACATCGTTCTGGGAGACAGTTTGTTGGCTATTATGCTGGCTGTTCATTATACAACAGAACATGGCAGACGCTAGCTTAATAATTAGCTATTGTCTGATATCCAATGAAACCCTCAAAGTGATGGGGTGATGTAGTCATATTTGTCTAATCCCCAAATATTTAAGATGTTTCTTTCTGATAGATTGGAGAAATTACCATAAACTGACAAACGTTTTGAGTTCGATATGTAGTACTTGAAACAGCAGCATGTTCCTGATCCTAGGTTGCATGGAAGTTTCAGCAGCATTTGTTTATCTAGTTGAAAATATGATCAGCACCTTGTACAGTCTATTTGCTTACCTTTGTGTTTGGTCATTTTGTGTCATAAAATGACATGGTGATTGGAAATAAATATAGGATCAAAGCAGAAAGACCATCAGCTCTGAAGAATTATAACTTGGTTAAGAACAAACATACACAATGTGTCCCCAGTCCCGGCCCTGCCCAGGGGCAGTCAGTGCGACTGCCCTAGGCCCATTATTCAAGGGGGCCTCAAATTTTATTATTATAGTAAGTGTTATATTATATTATTATAAATTAATTTAATATTTTTTCATAATTTTTAGGAATAGGATATTGAGATGAATATGAAATTTTGAAACAAAAGATCCATGACGAGAGTTTTAAAAGAAATTCTTTGATATTGGCTTGACTTTCATTTTTGAAATTCTTTGACTCACTGGTATGGTATCCATAGTTGAACATTTTTTTTCATTATTTAGGAATATGGAAGACATTGCTCAAAGTCTAAAAATGTTTTCGAATAAATACTTTCTCAAAAAATCCAATGCTTAGTTGATAAAACAAGAAGTATACTAGTATTAGTGATTAATGTGTGTAGGGCACACTTCAGATTTTGGCCCTGGGCCTTTGAAAACCCAGGACCCGCCCTGTGTGTCCCATGCCATATAACTGAAATTTTTACAAAACCAGAAAGTCCAAGGATGAGAACTCTCTTCAGGAAAGGAAAAGATCAGAGATAACAGTTTTAAGCCAGAGACGACCCCCTAGAACTCGAACACCAACCTAGAATGCAAATGACACTTATATGTGGCACGCTGAAATGGCAATTTGGGACAACACTGCTAACTGAAGTGTGTTGCTCTCATCTCTGCGTTCCATCACTACGATGAAGCTTCCCTTCCCAGCAGAGGGGAAGTCAATGATGAAATGGATCTCTATTCTCAAGTCAGCTATGATTCTATGAATCCATGCACAACACCCACGAGCGTTCCACGTGATATCTTGAGCAAATTTCAATTTGGTAACCGGTAACCGACAAATGCCATTAACCATTTACTTTCTTTTATTGTACTATTCATTGAAATTTGCCTATGCTGTGTATGCACAGTGATGGGCCTATACAGTGTATGCTCAACACTTGCATGCACAGTCGTGACAGCAGTCCCACATCGACTCCAAACAAAAGCTTCAAATCTTTTTAGTTTATAAAAGTATCTTCACCCCAACTATTTTCTCAGGTCTAGTTGTATTACTTGCTAAAGTCTTAGCTGGGCCACTTGTTAAAGTCCTAGTTGGGCTTTAAGTTGTGATTTTTTTTATAAATGCTTAATTCGGCATTTAAATTTCTAAATAGTTGGGCTTCTTATGTAATTGGGCTTCTGAAGAAACCCTAAGAATTCTTTCTTATGCAATTGGGCTTCAATATGATTTGCACCGTATATTCAAAGGCCATTGGCTAAGTTGGTGCCGTACAGTTTTTCAGAGGAACGAGATGGGAAAGAAGAAGATTGCTATAGAGAAGATTGAAAACAAGCAGTCTCGCCTTGTGACTTTCTCAAGGAGAAGGAATGGGCTCTTCAAGAAAGCCAAAGATTTCTCAAATCTCTCCGGCTCATCCGTTGCAATTCTTGTAATCTCTCCAGCGGGCCGCCGTTACACTTATGCCTCTCCTTCCTTTGACTCAGTGGTCGACCAATTCCTCTCCGAAACCATTGATGGCTCTTCCACTGTGACTGACGGTTCTTCTTCATTTGACTATGTGGATGACCAATTTCTCCCCACCACCAACGCTGGATCAACTTCCGTTGATTCTATGGTGGATCAATTCCTCTCCACCGAGGCTGCCTCACCTTCCTATGATTCTGTGATTGACGAGTTTCTGTCCACCGCTATTGGCTCTCCTTCGGTTGACTCCACCGCTGATCAAATCGTGCCCATTGCAACCGTTGACTCTTCCACCACCACTACTTCTGGCTCTTTCCGAGACACATTGAAGGCTTTGTCCGACATCAACATTGAAGCTTGTAATGATTTGGAAGAGTTGATGACTTTGAAAAATAACTTGGAGCAAATCATCAGAGAGAGGACGAGGCTAATATAATAATTTCCACGGCAGTCTTTTATCTTGCTAATCTCCACTTGTTTATATATTTGGGGAGAGTTAGCCTTTTTGTTAGGTCAAATAGTATATATGTTAGTGAAACACACTGATGCAGGATGCATCTTCCGTTCTGATGGAAGAACATGTGCTTTGTTGTAGACCAAGCTCTGAGATAATCTGTGCATTTTTTGTACTAGCCTCTAGATCAGTGCTTCTACTTTAGTGAATTATACAGATATAGGTTGATCTTCCTTCTTCTTTTTTTAATGCAACAGAACATGATGTGCTTTGTTTGTAATTGTCTCTAACATAATGAAGAAAAATTTGCATATGTTTATCCTCTATTAATGAACCTTCTTTTCTTTTACAAATTTTATCCCAAAAATCTGCCTCAGAACCTTGAACACAATTGACCATCGACAATCGCATCTGATACTTAACATTCATCGCATGATTATATGGACAATGATGACCATCCAACTTTCCCAAGTCCTCATTATCCGATTAGAAAATTACACCGAGATCTTCTTTCGCTTTTGTTCAACCCCTAAATACGTATATAAAAGCATGTGCAACAAAGCCTCAGCCATAATACCCTAACCTATGCAACTTTTACATGCTGAATTGATGCAGCATTTGATTTTGCAATTTCAGCCTCAATGTCTGTATGCAGTAACTCTAATACAGAATAGATCCTACAAAATTTGGGGTGGGATTTGTCCCCTGAAAGAAATACATGCCCAATGTTGTTAACCTCAATCCAACTGCACCCAGGTTGCTTCTTGACTCCTTTCTCTTTCATTCTTGTCCAAATCCTCTCCGCATCTTCTTTTCTTCCAATACTTAAATACATTTCTGCCAAAATCAAATATATACCAGAATTACCGGGCTCTATGTCCAAAACCTTCTCCCCTGCAATCTCACCCACCTCAACGTTCTTGTGGATTCTACAGGCTCCGAGTAATGCTCCCCAGACACTTGCAGGAATTTCATATCCATCTGCTCTCATTTGATCTAAAAAACTCATTGCCTCATCTATAAGTCCAAATCTCCCCAACAAATCAACAACACATGTATAATGCTCAGTTGTAGGTTCAATGAAATACTTGCATCTCATCATATGAAAGTAGTATCTGCCTTGGTCCACCAACCCCGCATGGCTACAAGCAGACAGTACACCAACAAAAGTTATGTGATTGGGTTGAACATCTGTTGATCTCATTTGTTCGAACATCCCCAAAGCTACTTCACCATTCCCATGGTGAGCGAATCCGCAGATTATAGAATTCCAAGAAATGACATCATGACTTTTCATGCAATAGAATTCCAATAAAGCAAAATCCATATTCCCACATCTTGAGTACATGGTAACCATAGCATTGGACACTGCAATGAATTGATCAAATCCCGCTTTTACTATGAGTGCATGAGTTTGCCTACCAAGGTGCAAGGTTGGTAAGTCTGAACAGATTGTCAAAACACTAGTAAACGTATTTTTGTCAGGGGATGGCCCTGATTCTTTCATTCTAATGAAAAGCTTCAAACCTTCTTCACCAAGATCATTTTCACTTAATCCAAATATTGTGGCGTTCCATGCAGCTGTATCGCGAGTTGGCATTGATTCAAAGAGTTCAATTGCACTGCCAACCTCTCCAATTCCCAAATACCCAACAATCATATTTGTCCATGATACAACATCTTTGTAAGGGTTTTTCTCAAGAAAAGCATGAGCTTCTCTAGTGAGCCCATTTCTTACTAATTTAAAAATAATCGAGTTCCAGGTTTTTGGACATTTCTCTGGCATCTCCATGAAAAGCTCCAAGGCATCATTAATTCTTTGAACCTTGACCAACCCATTCACCATTAGAGTCCAAGATTCCAAATCCCGCTCGGGCATTTTCTGGAACAACCCCTCAGCAATTGCAACATACCCGTTTTCTATATACCCAAGGATCATAGCATTCCAAGCCTGAACATCTCTCACAAGCATGCCATCAAAGAGTTCTCGGGCTTCAACAACACGTCCTGCAATAGAAAACCCTGAAATCATTATAGTCCAAGAGGCCAAATCTCGAATATTCATTCGCTTAAAATACTTTTCAGCCAAATCAAACTCTCCAGAATTCACAAGACCCCCAACCACCAAGTTCCATGAAATCACATCCTTCAATGGCATCCCATCAAACACTTGTATCGCTTCACCAATCATCCCATTACGAATATACCCGGAAACCATTGAATTCCAAGTGACAACATCTCTATAAATCATCCTGTCAAAGACTTGCCTTGCACCATCCACATCCCCACATTGCATCAACCCGGTAATCATGGTGTTATACGAGAAAACATCACGCTCAGTCATCCGACTAAATATATTAATCGCATCTTGGAACTGCCCATTTAGAAAGTAGCCGCGAATCATGGCATTCCACGTGACGGTGTTTCTTCGAGGCATTTTGTCGAACAGCTTCTGGGCTTCTTCCACAAAGCCATCCCTCATGAAAGTTGAGATTTTGGAGTTGAGGGGCTTTAGATTGGTGTGTGGAGTTGCAGTTTGGTTTTGTATAAATGGTTTTGCGGTCGCCGTGCAGAGTGATCTGGTGAGTCGTAGAGAGAGGTTTCGAGTGAGCATACTCCATTAGTTCAACTGTGACGAACAACGCGGGATCGGAAATAAGCAAAAATGCAATGGTGACTTGACCCGTTGTAACTTGGGCTTTGCCCTTGACCCGTTAATGAAGGATTATAATCTTATACCCAACATATGACTAGCCTGCATAGGCCCAAACATTTTGATTTTGAACCAATCAATACGTGATCGGCGTCTCAACCCCCAGAAGTACATATTTTTCTTATTTAAATTAACCCCCCCGCATCAAACGTTCTGAATTTAAATTATTACGAGCGCAAAAATATTGATTTATTTTAGGGACATTTTGGAAAAAGTAAAAGGAGAGAGAAAATTTTTAAAAGAAGCAAAAATGGACAAAAATGCCCTTATTTATTTTTAGATTTCCTAAGGAATCCAATACATTTGCATGTCTTTGATTTGAAAGTTGAGTGGTTTTTTTGTCTTTTTTGAAAAAGCTTTGGCTTTTTCCAAAAGTGAAAATTTTTTTATGTCTAAAACCTAAAAAACCTTTGTTTTTTTAAAATGGTATTATGTTATGAGAGTTTCATTGAATGCTTATGAATTATTATACAATCGCTTTTACCTTCCAAGCATGTTATATTATGTTTAATTGTGTGGAGTTGGGAATGGCTTGGATAACTGGGTTTTGGCATGAATAAGAAATTAATTAAATGCCTGATTATATGTCTATATTTAAATATATTCTCAGTGGCTTGAAATCGATGAATTATAAATGCTAGTTTTCTGAATAGTATGTTGTACATATTTGAATGTAGTTTGAGAATAGTTTTGAGAGATTTTGCATGGTCAAATTCAAATTAAGGAATGTTGGGATTGATCTCGTTTTAAAAAAGGGATTTTTGGTTTTTTTATACCCATCATTTTTAGGTGACTAATGCATATGTATTTTTTACCTTGAAGTCTTGTACTCTATGAAGAATGTGTCAATGATTTTTCATTAAAAAAATCCTCAAAATGACGCGACAAATAATCAAAAAGGAGAAAGAACCATGTAGAAATTGAAAATAGGAAATGCATTTATAAGTATGGAGTATGGGCCTGAATTTGTAATAGTTATTACTCACTATCTTGCTGGATTTATTTTTCCTAATTTATTATATGCAAGAACCTCCATTTCGGACGTGTTCTTCTTGTACATCTATTGTATATACCTATTTATTTATGAAATTATACTTGTTCTTTGAAATAATAATAATAATAATAATAATAATAATAAATTATGGAGTATGGACCAAACCAATCAACCAAAGCTTTCCTCATGGTCCCAAGAAAATGGTAAATTAGAGCTCCGATGTTTGATCCAAATTGAACTTTTTTCTTCTTTTAGAATTTTTATTTGGGCAGAACTAGATTGGAGATTGGAGATTTGACATGGGCATACCTTATCCCCCCAATAGATCTCTTCTACTCTTACTGGCCACAATCTGCCCACGTCAGCCAAGATATAGCCTACACCATCGGTCTCTCTTCCTCTTACCCCGTACCTCATCATCGATCACACCCCTTTTTAACTGTAAAAACTACCATAACCACCACCTCCTCTGCCTCACTCACAACCCCACAACCCCACCTCTGCCACCATGGCTGCCTCTGCAGCTGCAGCCGTGAGCTCATCTTTCTCACCCTCCATCTACACCGTCAAATGCCTACGATCATCCAATCAAATGTCCCCACTTGATCATCTCCACCTTAAAATGGCCCCTACCCGGATGCTTTCATCTTCATCTCTATCAAACCCTTGTGCCATAGAACCCCTACTTTCGATCAATGCCGGTTCGAACAAGTTTCGCGTGCTGAGGGTAAGTACTGCCGTGGCTCAAGAAGAGGTGGCGGTGACTGATGAGATTGAGCAAGTGGCCTCATTGGCTGAGGAGGAGCAGCAGGAAGAAAAGAAAGCAGAGGAGCAGGTGGTGTCCGCAGGTGATGAAGAGTTGGCAGGAGAAGCGGCAGCTGAAGTTTCAGGTGGAGGAGATGAGGGTGAGGAGGCTGTTGCTGTGAACACAAAGCTTTACTTTGGGAACCTTCCTTATAGCGTTGACAGTGCCCAGCTTGCTGGGATAATTCAGGACTATGGAAGTCCAGAGCTGATTGAGGTGAGGATTAATTTCCTTGTGATTAATTAGTTTGTTTAGTAGGTGATGTGATATTGTTATTAATTTATAGTCTGATCAAACACTTTTAGCCGTTAGATTGACGGGTTCATCATTCTCTATTAGAATATGGATTAGTCACAATTTATTAGATCGGGTTACTATAAAATAGGATTTTGCACTAAAGATGCACCCTAGCTAATACCATATTGTCATTTTAGATTAATTAAGTGAATTCTTCACATTGATAATCTAACAACATAACATGTTAAATATTTAACGAGACAACACTACCCTTAATATATAACAGGATGTATTTGCCTAGAGTTTAAGCTTTTTATGTGACATGGCATCAAAATGGGGAAAGTGCTTTTCCCAAATCCTAGTCCTAGCTTCTACTTCCCTTCATCCTCTCACATTTAATGTCAGCAATTATATGATCTAATTGAAGAACCTACTCCATAATTTTCAATTGATTTATAGTTATGTAGCAGACAACTGAAAAATTACTTAAACATATAGGTGGTGATTAGGTTTTGGGGTTATTAAAAACTGAACCACTAACTTTAGACATTTACCTCTCAATGAACTTTGTTCATCTACTACTTTCTCATCACTTAATGATGTGCCTCTGAGAACTGTAAATGGAACATATATTTGTAAAAGTTGTTGGATTAACCAGATACTGTAACCAGACAAAGTTTTTCCCTTCTTTTGGGGAAAGTTTGAATTCTGCTATTTGTTACTGATGACGCCTTTCATCAAAGGTTCTCTATCATAGGGACACTGGAAAAAGCAGAGGATTCGCATTCGTTACGATGAGCACTGTTGAAGATTGTAATGCTGTCATTGAAAATCTTGATGGACGTGTAAGACTCTCTCTCTCTCTCTCTCTCTCTCTCTCTCTCTCTCTCATGCTTACATAAGAGCCTTTCACTTAAAACCCTATCGATAAAACTATGTGTCACATTTACTCATTACAACTCTCGTGGCAATAGAAAATGCATCTCACTTGTAACACATGAATTATATATCTATGAGAGATGTCAGCAAATGTGGTACATGTATCGTTACTCTCGAATCTTAATGCTAAAAGCATTCTGATATTTCAGGAATTCATGGGGCGAACCTTGAGGGTGAACTTAGCGGACAAGCCAAGACCGAAATTACCTCTATATCCTGAAACTGAGTTCAAGCTTTTTGTAGGGAATTTATCCTGGTCAGTCACATCTGAAAGCTTGACGAAAGCTTTTCAAGAATATGGAAGTGTGGTTGGAGCCAGGGTGCTATATGATGGGGAGACAGGAAGGTCCCGTGGCTATGGATTTGTATGCTACTCAACGAAGTCAGAGATGGACACTGCCTTAGAATCTCTCGATGGAGCGGTACTATGAGTCCCATCCACCTCTACACATATAAGTTATTTGCACTTACGACAAATCACAATTTGACATTTGTTCCTTTATAAGGAGAGAAAACTTGTGTGAACTTGTAACACCGCGTCGTCTTACCCTCACAAACAATAATTCCTCCAGTAGAAAAAGAAAAAGAAGAATGAGCGGACATGTTTTCAAATTGTAGTATGCTTGTAAGAAAGAATGGCTTGTTGAGGCCGGCATTTTCTATGTATTGGGTAGACAACTGACCATACCTTGTTTTGTTTTCTTGGCTTCTCAGGAACTAGAAGGAAGAGCACTGCGCGTAAGCTTGGCTGAAGGGAAACGTTCATAAACATTAACAGTGTAAATTTGGAAACAGGGTTAATTGGAAATGTTGGCTGAGGTATTCACACCAGTGACTTGATTGGAGCTCCCCTTTCCATCTCTTGTTGTTTTTTGTAACTCTCTTTTTTTTCATCCCACGACTCTTCCGGAAATTCCTGGAGGATATGACTGTTTTTGGCAATGATAATGGTGATTTTGCTGCCTAATCGATCTGCTAAATTAATACAAAGAAGTATTTGTGTACATCAAGTCAATGGCATTTGTTAAACTACATTGCAAAAACTATCAAATTTGATCATTTATAAAAGTGTATAGCTATTTGATCATTTTGGTTGCCCATGTACTTTCGGTAGTCAAAATAGAGCATTGCTTGGCTCCTTAAAATCAAGAAACACTTAAAACCCAAAAATATCATTTATTAAAGAAAATGTTAAAAATAAATATAATATAATATAAAGGTGTGGAAACCTGTATCGTGGCTAGGTTATCTATTTGGATCACAAATTTAAACAACCACCTAGATTATAAATCATCCGAATTGACAATAATATAACACTCCGTGGAATGAACTTCTTGATAGTTTAGTACTAAGGGCTCGTTTGGTCCGCAGAATTAACTTCTTGTGAATGAAACTCCCATGTCTAATCCAACGAGATGGTAATGGAGCATGTTCATTCCCATGTTTGGAAACACTACGAAATGATGACCAAGAAATGCCACTTTCTCTCATTCCTATGTTTGATTTGATTTGTGCAATATTAGGAATGGAAAGTTGAATTTTCCAATTAGTGCCCTTTATTATTTTTTTATTTCAATTTTAATAAAAATTGATATTTTATTTAAAAATTAGAATATGGGTAATTTAGTTCCCAAAAAAAGTGGATTAAATGCTTTTCCAAGTGGGGAGAAAAATATTGCCAAGGAGAGCCAATGGTATGAAATTCTCCTTTGCATGGGAAGTTTACAACCATGAGCTAGGTATTGCATTCCTACGAGTGCACTTACCAAACATGAAGATGCAATCTCATACCAATTCCTAAACTTCTAAATCTTCAACCAGAACAACCCTAAGTATCTGATTAAAGAATATGTTTCAGAGTAACGTCATACCATGTCATACTAAACTTCTCTTACTTGCTATATGGCATACCATGTCACACTAAACTGTCCAACTTGATTGATACATACAATTAATAATCCACCTGATTAATGATTACGACTAACAATGTGGCATCATAGCATGGAAGATTGTCGGATAATGGCCGTATCGAGTGTGTCTGTGGCAATAGAATATATTAACATGAGTATTGGCAGCTTAACAACATAACAAATATAGAATGATGGTATATATTAATATAAGAGTAACATACAAGTGTATGACCATAGCGTCTACACATGGTCTTACTTAGATATATGAAATATAATGTCGCTAAATTGCCAATATAATTAATTCATTGAAATAAGAATTCACTTTATTAGTGATTTGAATTGACAATGTGATATTATAATATGTCAGACTGTCTTGTCATATAAAACAACAATCCAAGCCGTTATATGATTTAGATTGACAATGGGGCACCATAACATATTAGACTATTAGTAGACAAACATTTCCATGATGTGTGTTATATTGCTATAATAGCAGTTAGGACGAATATTTGTGAGATTGCTTGCTAATTGTCTCTTACCTTTTTGCATGATCTTACTAATTATGTTGGTTCCTATCTTCACCATGCTTTTGGATAATCATGGGAACAATTGGTAAACACGTATTATTTCACCCAATTCAACTAAATCATACAATTCAATTCAAACTCTTTAGTTTTTGTAGCACCTTCGCAAAGAATATTTTCCTTTTCAAAAAAGGAAAGAAAAAGATTGCAACCCAATATCACAAGCGTAAGTTAGCAAGGAGTGACGAAGGGGAAAGGGTCCTTTTGTGATGCAATTCCATGTTAAAGTGCGCCGCGTGGAGTGAGTGTCACCAATTTCTGTGGTGGCGGCTACCAACAAAAGCCGCAAGCAGCAACAACTAAACCCACTGAGTGACGAGATCGATCCTCTCCCCCAAATCTATCTCAAGGTCTCCTCCTCTCTCTCTGTCTCCGTATACATTTTCTCTCTCTAAGACTAAAGCCTCCACCATTTCTCAGATCCCCCCCTTCTCTCTCTTTGTCTACATGTGTAAATGTCTGTATGTATTTGGCATTTGTGCTTAATCTTATCTTTTGGGTTTTGGTGCAGATTTGAGGGGGCGTTTGCAGATCTAGGGTTTTTGATTTTGCTGTTTTAGGGTTTTAGAGGTTTCGAATATGGCCACGCCCTTTGCCATTCCCGTCACTGCTGCTCAGGTTCTCTCTCTCTCTCTCTCTCTCTCTCTCTCTCTCTCTCTGTGTTTCTCTAGCGCTGAGAGTGAAATCTTCGTTGTGTTTGTATGGTTTAGGTTGGGACGTACTTTGTGGGGCAGTACTACCAAGTGCTTCAGCAACAGCCAGACCTTGTTCATCAATTCTACTCCGACGCCAGCACTATGCTTCGTATTGACGGCAACACCAGAGAGACCGCCACTGCAATGCTGGTATTATTCGTCTTTTTTTCTTCATTAGTTTTATGATTAAGTTCCTTTAAACGTTTTCAACTATTTCTGACAAATAAATATGAGTTGATATGGGTGAATAAAGCTGTATGGATGTGTATTTCAACTTTCAAGTAACCTGCTTGATGGGTTTATGGGTTTTTGTTTATTTATTTTTTTAGGTTCCTATATGTACTGGGTCGGTGAATAATTTATTTAGTTTCCCTGCGTATATACACTTGTTATCAGTGTATATTAGCTGATTGTACTGGTTGCAAAGAGGGTTCTTTGTGCATCTAGCTGTGAGAAGTGTTTGTATTTTTTTTTCATGCTTGAAATATTTACCTCATTGAATTACGTGTTGGAGGCCTCATTTTCTTTTATTTTCTTTGTTACCTCTTATTTGTGGATCAGCGAAATTTAAAAAAAGATGTATGCTTATTTGGTATAGGGATATTGGCTGCATTACTCTTCACATTTTTGTTTTCTTTTTCCGACATAAGGTCAAGTATGTTATTAGTTACAGGTTTAACTGATTTAAACCATTATCCGAACTTAGTAGGTTGAATATGGATTCCATCTTGTCATTCAGCCATATATAAAGGCCATAATCTCTTTTAGATCCCTGATTTTTGTACAAAACACTGTCAGTTTTCTGTTTTCATTAATTTGATCAATTCACTCTCCTCTGACTTGTAAATTCATGGACCTCTGTTGTACATGGCAACCATTTGAGGTAAGTGGTCCTTACTCTCATTAGGTGTTATCCCTAATGAGGAAAATCAGGAAGCGGTACTTCTAACAAGCAATCATATGATGGTACTGGATAATTGGAGTTAGTTGCAGTTTAAACAATGGTTCCGAGATGATTAATAATTTCATTTGTATAGCATCTCTCTGATTTTGTTACTTGTTTAGGAATCATGTCTAGTATACCACAAATATTTGTTTTAATTTGTTAATAACTCTGTGTGTGCTATTACGAATATAAGATACCTGGCTATTCTTGAAGCGGCCCTTGTTGCAGTTCATAGTATACTGCTGGGTTCTAGATTCTTTCTTTTTGGCCATGAATTTTTATGTTCAATTTTTGTAGGAAACAGACTAATAGTATCATTAAGAACAAGCCATGGAATGCTTTTATAAATCTGCGGTTTTTTGTAGTGCATGCCCATCATATATTGATGGGCAATTACTGCTAGAAAGTTATCGATAAGAATTGAATTTAAGTGATACAAAACATGAATCTCCCACATTGATTTAGTTATTAATCACAGCCTGTCCCAGTCAGTTGAACCAGTATTTGGGTTGCTTCAACCTGGATTCTCTTAGGTTCATTCAAAGGACTCAATCAGCAAGAAACCCGTCTGTGATCAGAGTCCAGCCAATATATATATATATATATATATATATATTTGCTGTCTTTTCTTTTTCTTCTCTTAAGAAAAACAGTATGAATTGTTCTAAATGACAAAAATATTAAATACTATTTTAACTTGTCTTGCACATTTGCAGTTTTATTGATTGACCTGCTGTGGAGCAATGACCCATGGCCTTTTTCTTAATACAACTTTTTTTGGTTTTATAACTATGAATATATTTATTTTAACCTGATGTACATTGTCATGTTTCGCACACTCTTAGCACTCACAGTCACATTGACCCAATTATTGCTTGGAATGTTCAGTCATTTTTGCCTTAGTTAGAAACAATTAATTTGATGCCACATGCATAGTTTATATATGCTGTTGTATGCTACTTGTTCTTTCTGTATAAGGTGTATCCCATTTGGTGTACCCCTCTGTTGAATACTCAAGTTAATCCTTTCTTTGTGTGTATGCAACAGCAAATCCATGCACTTGTTATGTCGCTCAATTATACTGGATATGAAATCAACACAGCACATTCCTTGGAATCTTGGAATGGAGGTGTTCTTGTGATGGTTTCAGGCTCCCTGCAAACACAAAATTTCACTGGAAGGAAGAAATTTGTTCAAACTTTTTTCCTTGCACCTCAGGAAAAAGGTTATTTTGTACTTAACGATATATTTCACTTCATTGATGAGGAACTAATGCACCATCCATCGGTCATATTAGCCCAGAGCAATCTTGACGCCAAGCTAAGTGTTCCTACTACGATCCCTGAGCCAGGTATTGTAATGCATCATAATTTACGTTGATTTGAAGATTTCCATTTTCAGTAGGCATTATCAAGTCTGTTATTTTAGTGGTGGATAAAAGATATGATTATTTACAAGAAAAGTGTAGAAAGGATATATATTTGCATTTATGTACAAGAATCTATTCCTTGAAAAGAAAGAATTTTATGTATGACGACAAAACAAATTCCATAATTAGCAATGGCAATTGTGTTGTTTATTGGTTTCTACTTTTTGTGCAATTGTTGAATAGTGATGTTAACTTGTTTTGAAACCATGTTTATGCACGATTACAATCTGATAAGAAAATGCCTTCAATGTCATTTTTAATAGTATGTTTAAATTGTTGTGGCTAAAAATGCCTTTTGTGAAGTTCTTGGTAACTTGATTTGATTTGGTAGTTAGTCAAGTTTAATGACAACATATAAAAAAAGTTTTTTTGTTTAGTAGTTTAATTGATGAAACTGGTGATTTGCAGTGGCTAGCTATTTGCTGGGTGGAGAAATTCAGACAAGAGACTTCGCGGCTCCTGCTGTCAAAGAAAATGGTCCAGTTGAAAGTTATGGTTTTGCAGAGCAACGGTTGCAGCAAGTTGTTGAAACTGAGAATTTGTTGGATGATAGTGTTGTAGAACAGTCAAATGGTTCACTTCATAGTACAGTGAATACTGTACAAGATCACCTGTCTGCATCTGTGGAGGAACCTATTGGAGAGCCCCAAAAGCAGACCTATGCTTCTATAGTACGCACTGAACCTGTGACTAACTAATTATGTTCACAGAAACACATACTTATGGATATATAAAATCTTATGCTCATTATATGTGACCAATTTTGTCTGCTTGGTTCTTTTTGGAAGTTACGGGTTGCTAAAGGACAACCTGCGCCTTCTGTAGCTCCCCAGCATTCAGCTAACAGGAGTGCACTATCGGCTTCAGAGTGGAATCACCATCCTCAGTCCTCTGCTCAGCAGCCCATTTCATCATCAAATACATACGAAAGGCCTGTTGCAGAGACAACAGATGAGGCAGCAACTCTAGAGGATGAAGGTGAGCTTTTGGGCTTTCATTTGTAACCCATTAAGTTTTGCTCATAAGTTTTTTTTTTTTTTTTTTTTTTTTTTTTTTTTTTTTTCAGTTTTGTTCACTTTTTTCCTCTAAATCAACATATGGGCTGTTTGATATGCACTTCAACAGTTTTATTTAATAATCTTCATATTATTTTTGGTGAATGCTTTTAGGCGAAATAAAGTCTGTTTATGTAAGAAACTTGCCGCCTACTGTATCTCCATCTGAAGTTGAGGAGGAATTTGTGAATTTTGGAAAACTCAAGCAGCCTGAAGGAGTGGTCATTAGGAGTCGCAAGGTTCATGCTCTTCTTTCTTATTCTTTTGTTCCCTCGGGTCCCACTCCAGATGTGTCATTTTATATCAGTCTGAAATTATTAAGCTAAAATATTTCATTGTTGTGCAGGATGTTGGTGTTTGCTATGCGTTTGTTGAATTTGAAGATATTACTGGTGTTCAGAATGCCGTCAAGGTCCACTCTTAAAAAATCAATGCTTGAGTGCTGTTTGTAAAATTTGAATTCTGATTACTTTCCTTACAATACCAATTGAATTTAAATTGGAGATGGAGGCAAATTCGGAGTTCCTTTCCTCCTACAAATCTGCTTACTGAATCTTTTATTGATTTTTTCTTGTCCTATTTTCTATAGGCTGGTAGTGTTGAGATTGCTGGACGACAAGTGTACATTGAAGAGCGGAGACCAAACAGCAACATCCCATCTCGAGTGGGAAGTATGTTTCCTTTATTAATGTTTCCTTTATTAATGTTCTGTGATCTTATTAACATGTAAAATAAGTGTCTTAAATTCTCTAGTGAAAAAGTTACTACATTTAACAATGCCTGGCCATTTACATAGTGGTAATATAATGGCCTCCTACGTGTGCTCACTGTGATTGGTTGGAAGATCAAGCCGCCCCTAGCTATATTTGGCGACAGCGGTTGGATCTGTTATTGTTTTGTCGTACTAGTGTCATGATAATTGTCCACTCCCATATTCTAATAGTTCTTGCATGTGATATTGTGATTATTTTGTGTAGCAATTTTAGAATTACTTCATAACTGTTTCATCCTACAATCTATGCTGCTGTATTTAGTATGCGGCCACTATCAACATTCTTAGTTTCATCCACTTTCTTGTGCTAGTTATCTAATGAAAGAAACCCTCGTCAATATGACTGCTTAGTATGATAGATTGTAACTGCAACTGGCATTAGACATGTTGGAGCTTTGTTTCTGATTGAATTGTTATGGTAGCCAAATCTTGCTATGCTTCTCTCTATGTTCCAGGCTTTACATAAAGATATGCTCTTGTTGTAATTTTATTTGATGAATTGTTGTGAACAGGAAGGGGTAGAGGAAGGGGCAGCTACCAAGCAGAGGCACCGAGGGGTCGTTTTGTCTCTCGGGGTTTTGGGAGGGGAGGTGGCTATGACGGAGGTGACCAGGACTACAGCCGACCAAGGGGAAATGGCTACTATCGTCCAAGTCCCCGACAAGAAAGAGCAAACCCGGGTTATCAATCATCAAGAGGCGGGCAAAATTCATCAGAGTTCACTAATTAGGATTATTTTACAATGAGGAAAGGAAATTTTTGGGTCAGCAGATAACCTTTATTGGTTGCATAAACTACATACTGGTATTTCGTAGAGGCAGTTTAGCTTTAGATATGTTGGGCATGTGAATCATATTTTTCCAAGAAGGGTTTGCTTGACACTGGAATTCTTAATTCAAGAGGTGATGGGTTTGCAATTTTGACCTCAGTTGTTCTTTGCGAAATCTTTGCATGGTCTTTCCTAACCTGTCTATCTGTTAAATACCCCGGGAATCCCCCTTTTGTGATTGTTCCAAAGCGTGCTTCCGTTTCTTGTACTTTTGCTTTCACCATCTTCCAATTTGTGGAGCAAACAATTTAAATGTGAAATGAACATGGTTATCTGCTTTATTTTCATTACTTACAGGGGAAATTTTTTGTCATAAGAACATGAAACGAAAAGGGAAAAAAGAAGAAGGTAAAATTAACAAAGTCACTCACAATGTCGTCTCTAGAAGACTGAATTGTTGAAAATTGAGGTCATCAATATTTACTAGTTTACTTTTAAGTTGGTTTTGTTCTTTTGTTTTTCCTCTCATTTCATATGGCTTGCATCAATGCAAGCTCTTATTCGATACCGAAAGTTTTAACAAGGATGAATTAAATATTTTCTGCCAATCATTTTCTTTTTTAGTTTTAACAGTGATGAAAGCATGTAGAAGTGGCACAAGGTCTCATTGCAGTCTTTGCAGATGAGGATAAATGAAATAAATACAATAAAACCACTTTAATAAATTATATAAAATTTTCCCCTTTGAGACAAATCATACAAAAATAAATAAAAAATCTTAGCCCATTTCAGCATTTCTTATAATGAATCTGTATGGTATGGCAGTTCTTCTGCCAAAAAGGAAACAAAATGGCATGGCTGTTTTATTTTGATAGTTGGTACCATCGATAAATCTGCAAGACAAATTACAGACATAAATTATGAAGCTGAGGAAATGAGCAACTGATCATATTACAATCCATTCTGAACTATTGAGCGACAATTATTTATTACAAGTTTGCCGTTTCTATTAGAAACATTGTAGCAGAAACATATAGAACATAAACCTGGTGGCATGGCATCTATAACAGATTAAAAGTACAACCATTTTCTCTAGAAAATGTTCACTTAACTAACTTCTAAGGCCACCAAGTTTCTCAGTTTAAAACTTTGATAGTGATGGTGTATCTCTATGTACAGCTTCAGACCCTATGCAGCATTAGAACCTGATTCAGTAATTCTGCAATCTGCTGTGTTAGGAATTCAGGCATTCACAGCGGTCATGGTTCCTCCTTGTATGAGAGGCACTTGAATGTGGCCTTGCATTACCATATCTTCCTCGTCTTCAGCTTCCCAGAGGAAATGAGCATATGCCGCAAGAACATAGCTAAACACAAAGGAACAAAATGTTTAAGAGGTCATTTTAATCAGTTATATTATCTTTTTTATGATTAGATCTTTACTACTAGTCAATTATTTTGAAACATCTCCAATCATTCGGACCAACAAATGGTGATCTAGAGGATTGGGAAACAGGATTTGTTCAAAGTTAGAAAGTTCAATAACCAATTCAAGATCCTGCATATCATTGTCTATGTTCCAGATTGACGATAATATAGAAAATATTCATGAACATGTTCAAGTAGAAATTCTGAGATCATGTAATGCCTTCTCGCTGTCATGATGAAGTTCCCAAACCAGTTTAGCATATTGCGTCATGATCTCACTGTCCCCAGGATCAGCTTGCATGGCCCGCAAATAGTATTGTTCTGCTCCTTGAAGGTCTCCCTTGGACTGTAGGCAATCATGATAAGTTACACAAGTGTGACTAGAAATCCAACTTAATATATTTATATAAAATTATAAATAAATAAATAAATAAAAAAGGTGTTCTATAATAAAAAGAGTCAGATGTATAGAGAAAATAGAGATCAAAATGTGCATCTCTCACCTGACACAAGAACTGAGCATAATTTCTTAGCAACAAAGCATTGTTGGGATTCTCTTCAATCATCATCTTGTAATTCTCCTCAGCATTATCACCTCTTCTGGAGCCAGCTTCGGCAGTATCGAGCATGTCAATCCCATTTGCTGCTGCAATGTGCGAGGATGGACCAACTTTTTTAGTTTCTTCTTTGGAATTGGTGTTTTCAAGTTCATTCATACCATCTCCCTTGTCACCTTCTTCCTGGTCATCCTTTATTTCCCATAGAAAACTAGCATATGCCCCAAGAACAAGGCTGCAACAAGAAGACAAATAATTAACTTCCAAATGCTAAATGCAATCTGTCATGTTTTTTGTACTGAGCATCAACTTTGAGACTACTTGATTTTTTGTATACAAACCAACCTGGAACTTAACCCAACTTAATATGTACGATAATCTAGATTTTCTGCTGTGAAATTAGATTTCAAATTTTCTTTGGAGATGGATTTATACAGGAAATTAATCACCTGTCTTCAGGAGCAGCTTGAGCTGCACGTTCAAAGTAACTCAAGGCTCTATCTTGGTCATGATGGAGCTGCCAAACCAGCTTAGCATACTCAAGTAAAGACTCACCATCTTGAGGATTCGCTAGTGTAGCACGCAAATAGTAATCTTCAGCTCCATGGAAATCTCCCTTGGACTGCCATGAAAGGATTGAAGTACATTGCACAAAAATTAGAAATCAAGATTTATTCTGTATAGGAGGTATGAATTTAGCTTCTTCCCAAGTCACTTAATCGGGAAGAAGTTTAGTCAGATCAATCAGGCTATTCAGTAGTTTTAACTCAAGTCACATATAACTAAGGTTAAAAGGCAACATTTCGTCCTCCCTGATAGAGACGAGAAGAAGACTTGTTCAACGTGAATAACAACCTTCACGATAATTAAGCCTAATAGCAGGACCGGAACAAAAGCTGTAGCCGAAGCAACAAGAGCTACAAGTCTACAAAAATGAAAAGAACAATAGCAGCAACAGTTGCAAACACACTCTTTGAGTCTTAGGCAGGGTATTTGTCTGCAGCCCAGCCAATGGTCAACAAAAAGATTGGATTGCAGAAACAGAAACTAGAAAAGGCTTAGACCTTGCCTTACACAACCACTATTGTGATTCAGATTTGAACTCACAGTTTAGCTCTGGAATAATGGAGATTGGAAAATCAGGCACAAAAAATTGTTGGGATTGCTCATTCATTGGACACAAAACATAAGCTCTTTATATTCCAGAATCAAGAATCGAAAATTGGATATCTGCATCAGTTTCTTAACCATATAGCTCTTTCAGTTTTATTTGATAATCATTATAAATTGAATACAACCAAAATGGGGGAAAAAAGAAAATACTAGCAAAAAAACACATGCTTCAACAAAAAATCTTACTTGTAAAGCTTGAGCATAATTCCTAAGGAACAAAGGGTGGCAGGGATATTCATCAACCATCCTCTTATAATACTCCTCTCCATTGCCGCTCTCATCGATATTTGCCATAGATAATTCATCATCCCAAGCATCCCAACCAAAACCAGCAGCCTGAACCCCAAGCCCCGCTGCAAGATACATGGGAGGACTTGCAGGACGTACTTGTTCTTCAACACGCAAACTCTGGATCCCACCCAAATCTTCTTCTTCCTCTTCACCCTTCTCCTCAATCAATCCCATACTCTTCTTCCCAAAACAGAAGTCCCCACCTCCCATCACCGATTCTATGTTCTCTCCTATCGTAATGGTCCTCTCCAGTGGTTCTTGATCTGAACCTTGAAAGTCAAGAATGCCTGAGTGAAATATCGAAAAAGACGGAGCTGTTTCCAGCATTGAATTGTTATCTTGATAGGAAGAAGACGTTCTTGGTGCAACCGAATTTCGAAACTCTTCCATGTCACAAGAACTATCAACTAGCCCTTCCAAGTTTCCGTCAGACCAAGCTCGCCGAATCGCTTTGAGGCCTAAACTCTTGGATTCTGGATTGAACTCTATGAACCCAGACGCAGAATGGGAGTTTGGAGAAGAAGAGTTGCATGAAAAAGATGTCAAGTTGAAATGGTGATGATGAGCACTATTGGGTTGGGACTGTCTGAGAAGGATGAGAGGAGCGTTCCAGTGACTGGGGTTGATGAGCTTCTGAGCAGCATTTTAATAAAGCTTTTTATACAATTACTAGTCTTTAGCTTGCCTGTAAATGGAAACAATATTGAATTATATATATATATATATATATATATAAAAATCAGATTGAATCAGAACCTCTCATTTCAGTACCAGATCATGTTCATGTTGCCAAACCAAAGGAATATGTAGGCTCAAGTTGCATCACAGAGAGTAGGTAAGTTGGAAATTTAGCTAAAAACTTATCAATTATGCACATGGCTTTAAATGTACAACACATGGAAGAACTGCCATTCATTCATTCATTCATCCAAAGAAAGAAAGAAGAACATGTATCTTTAGGTATATAGAAAGCGATAACATGTTGGTTTGGTTGCAATATTAATCAAAGCCAAATAAGAACAAGATGCACGAAATTCCATGAATAAAGAAAAATAAGACGTGAAAATCACAAGAAAGAATGTGAGGAAGCTTGTGACCAAATTAATCTTTTCTGGTAAAAATAATTTGTGGGTTATGAGCATTGGGATCTAATTAATTCATACAAGGTTTAGTTTAGGTGAGTGTTTTATGTATTCATCAAGAACCACGAATAGTATAAGAGTAGCGTTCGAAGGCATACCTCTCTCCTTTCACTTTTGCTGTATGCAGCAAACCCTTCTTCCCTTTCTTATTGTAAGGAAAGCAGGTTTGTGCTAATTGTATTGTAAAGAAGAAATGAGAAGGCGAAAGGAACTTGATGTGGTTTAAGGCATCTATTCTTTTGCAGTGGCAGAGTACTTTCTTGTTTTTTTATTTATTTATACAAAGTTGAATTTGTCAGTAATGTGAGAGACATGTAAGCTTGGCCATAAAGTAGTATTTTTTATTGTGAATTTCTTTATTGGCTGCTCGGATAGACAGCAACCTCTGGCACGTGTAACTTTCATTGAAAGGTGTCATGCATTCTTTCTTGATCTTTTGGGTACAGTTTTTTTAAGAAACATTCCAAAACAACACCACTTGATTTTGATTTTTCCTAATTTTATATAAGCGATATTAGGAATGAGGAATCCGACTTAGGAACTCGGAGTGCAGGGATAAGTTAACACTTGAGTTACACCACTTCATTTTGATAGGTCAAGAAAAGCGGCATGGGCTTGCACAAATTTTGCCCATTTCAAAAGGCCTATGAGTCATGACTAAAGGGCCTGCATGTCTTTCAGTGGAATAACAGTTTTGGACTGATGGACTACTTGGTTAGAATTTGAACAAAGACCCTTTTTTAATTGGGTTACATAATATGCGTCATTCTATAGTGAGCGTCTTATATATGGCATTTAGATGAAGTTTTATCCTTTAATTATTGGATCAGGTTAACCAATTTGATATAACGATCAAAATATATGGCATCACCTAAGGGCCATATATAATGCCCTTACTATAAAATTCTAGTACATAGCAAGGCACTTAAGATAGAGTAATGACTTGATTTACATTATTGATGAATAGGTCACACTTTTCTGTGTCATGTCATTGTCATATAAGTTTGATTGTGTTCACCTAACTAATCGATAGATACTGTTATACTTTAAAAAAAATAAAAATAAACCAACATGACTCTTTGCCACATTAAAATAGGTGGTTGTTTTAATGCAGTGATGTAGTGTACACGTCAAATACCATGTAAATTAATACACGAAAATTAAAACAAAAACGGTTTGCTATTAAGCATTCTCCTTAATTGTTTGTATTGTTTAAAAAGTTTCAGATGTGATATCAATCAACCATAACAAGTTAGTTTTATTTAGGATCTTCTTCAGTTCTATATCTATGACTAGGCTACATCAAATTGTTGTTAGCCAGGCTTGTTTTTACTAAATACAAGATAGGTAGAACCACTTTTGATTTTGCAAGTGAAAATGGTACTTGGAATACACACTGTGCCAGCCAAAGCCAAAGCCAAAGCCAAGCATCAGAATTTCCCAGTTTGATGCTAGCCAAATATAGTTATTAGTTAAGGAGTTAAGGTGATACTGTAAACCCCTCTGGCTCACCAAATTAGAAATTACTGTTATGTTAGCTGCTTAAGACAATGACATGATTGAAAATTTGAAAGGACCATAAATCTCACCCTGAAATTACCCTAATTTTAGCTCAGGGACTGTGCATGTAATTAAGCCAAATCAACAACCTCCTCCTTCACCTCCCCCACACCTTCCAAAATTAAACCTCAGTGTAACCAAAAACCGTGGGGTCAAACTCTCCCACATTGACAATTGTCTTCCTCACATAACCAACCCTCCATTATTCTACGCTGTTTTCGCACAATTCCACCTTGCAGGTGCCCTCATTCTCTCTCTCCCCTCCTCCCTTTTTTCAACCATACCTCCCTTCCCCCATGATGCATGCCCTTGCCTCTCGTCGTCCAAGAAGAGGACGACGAGCGGAACCATCTCCATCTTCGCCACTACTACCTTCACTTTTTTAAAACACATTTACGTCCATCTCTTTGATCCTTAGCTAGCCTCTATTGAATATCCATCCATCGGAAAACCTTAAAGAAGGCGCGATTTGAATTTATTATTCAATCGCGGCGACAATGTCTCAATCAATCTTAGCTCCGTTCCAACTCCTGGAACTCAACGTCATATCGGCCCAGGACCTTGCGCCGATATCACGCTCCATGCGCACGTACGCCATTGCATGGGTGCACCCAGATCGAAAGCTATCGACGCGGGTGGACACTCAGGGCCACAGCAATCCGACATGGAACGACAAGTTTGTGTTCCGGGTGGACGAGGATTTTTTACACGAGGACACCTCCGCCGTGATGATTGAGATCTACGCTCTCCATTGGTTCAAGGACGTCCATGTGGGCACGGTTCGTGTCCTGGTGGGTAATCTTATCCCCACCCCGGCAAAGCCCCACCACCACAACCCTCAGCTAGGCATGCGGTTCGTAGCGCTCCAGGTGCGCCGCCCCTCGGGCCGGCCGCAGGGGATTCTAAACATCGGCGTGGCGCTGCTTCACAGCTCCATGAGGAGCATGCCCTTGTATTCCCAACTCAGCACATCAGCCGTCGGATACAAAACCTTGATGGGCGAGGAAGACCCACATCGCAGTAGTCAAAACCATCATGCAGGCAGTCAAATGACGACGTATTCGAAGCCGGAGCTACGGCGCAGCAAGAGCGACTCCAGCTCCATGTTCGGGTCGGACCTGAGAGCCACAGAATTTAAAAACAAGGGCAAAAATGGAAAGGCGGGCTCAATGCTCAACGGGTCAGAAGTCAGCATAAAAAAGAACAAAAAAGGTCGTCTGTCCAAAGCCAGCTCGATCATTGGTGGTTCAGAAATAATTATCAGGAAGAGCAAGGACAAAAAAGGAAAATCAAGCTCCCTGCTTAGCGCCTCAGATATAAGCTACAAAAAAGGGAAGCCGAGCTCCATACTCGCCGCCTCAGACGTGAACAGCTCGGTGGCCCCACCAAAGTACGGAAAAGACAAAAAAGGGAAGCCGAGCTCCGTTCTCAGCGCCTCCGAAGCCACCGTGCGGGACGCACAGAAAAAAGGTGATAGTAGTAACGGTAAACCCGCAAGCTCCATGCCCAGCGCATCCGAACCGGAAGACCCGCCCAGAAGGAAACCCGCCAGTCACAAACCATCGCCAAAATTCAACCTGGCAGAAAATTACGGTTCTACCCCCGGACGGAAGTCGGCGCCTCGAGCTGGCAAATCGCCGTTCTACAAGCTGCAGTCGCCGTACGAGCAGTACGCGACGCCGAGGAAATCGAACATCATGCCTGTGCCGTTCATAACGGAGTCGGAGCTGGGGCCGTCGCCGTCGGAGGTGGCGGCGGCGATCGCGAAGGAGCGCTTGGATCAGGACACGGAGAGCTCGGTGGTAGGGGGCGCGCGGAACGAGGAAGACGAGAGTTCGCGAGCTTTCCTTCCAGCGACGAGCGCCACGAGCGGCGGCACAGCGATGGCGGAAGCGGGCTCTTCTCGTGCTTTAGTAATATTTGTGGAATCGAGTGCTCCATTGTATGCGGGTCGGGCGATTCGGATAGTAAGACCCGGAAGAAGAATGGTAGCAAGAGTGGCGGAAAGGTCCCACGGAGCCCCTCAGCCGGAAATCTAAGCTACATGTGAAAGGACCCGGATGGAGATGGGTAAATGGGCAGGGTTTTTTTGTTTTCCATAATTTGGCGGGCAACGATAGTGAAAGAAGATGGAAGTTGAAATCAACCGCTTAGTTCGTGCTAACTTGCGCCAAGGGTGATACTATTAACGAAGAAAGAACAAGCGAAACGTAAGGGCAGGGCCTGGGCGCAGGATAAGCAAGTGCACACCAGGGGGTTGATGATAGTGAATTGCACTTGGTTAGGCCATTCTCTTCCTCTTCCCAATTTTAATTTTGTATTTATCGAATTTCTGCTGTGTAATTTATTGTTTCCCCAAAAAACAGAAAAACAAAATACAAAGGACCGTCCAAATTCAAATTTGTGTTTATTTATATTATTGTTGATGTAGAATATAAATCTTATATGAACAATTTTTTCATTTATCTAATTATCAGTAAGAGCAACTCCACCTATTTGCCCTTAGCCATGGCAAGGGGAGGAGCTAGGGCAGCCACTATTCACGTGAATAGTGGTTGCCCTTACAAAATCCGAATTTTGAGTTTCCACCCGTTGCCCTTGCTAAGGGCAGTTACTATTCATTTTTTTGTTTTATTCACAACTTTTTTTACCTCAATAATTAATTTGGATAATATTTTCGGATAAGATTTTCGGGTTCCTACGTGTCAAAACTATTCATATCTCATAATCGGATAAAATTTTCAATTTCAAATTTCAGATAAATTTAAAATAATAAAAAAAGCTGGTATTTATAGAAAAAAATTCATTAATTTTTGGGTATTTTTTAAAAAAAAATTTCGAATTTTTTTCAGTATTTTATTGCAAAAAAATTGGCTGCCGTTGGATTGGAGGAAAAAATCAGATCGGAGAGCCCAGACGACGCCACGTGGCAACAGGAAAAAAAATCAAATCAGCGAGGTACTGTAGCGGGGGTACTGTAGTAGTATTGTAGTAGTATTGTAGCAGATACTGTAGCGCTACAGTAATCCCCTCGTTTTGGACCTCAGGCAGAAGTTGCCTTCGGGCCAGCCCGGGGTGGTGGGTCCCACACCCCTCCCCGGGGGCCTGGGCTGCTCCGCTGGAACACAATTTTTTTTTTCCCCTAGCCTCGGGCTGAGCTCATCCGATGGAAAGGCTCTAATGTGGCGTGGGATATTATATCTTTATTTATTTATTTATTTATAATTTGTGTTTGGTCGAATAAAATATTGGTTCCTCATATCTCTCTTTAATTGAAAAAGCATCCAAATATATATATATATATGTATATATATAAGAAGAAGAAAAAAGCGTCGAATATAATGGGATTTGAGAGTGAAAAAGTGAGGGAAGGAGTTTGATGGTTCTAAGAGTAAAGGTGATTGGAGTTTGACATCTGTGTTTCAAGGCTAATGTGTTCAGTATAAATTTTTGCATGTTCCGGATACACCATCCAATATACATAAGACATATGGTAATATTTTATTTTTATTTTTAAAAAAAAGTGCAGTAAATTGGCGAGTCCAAACTACATGTCCTATGTATATTGGTGTACCAGAAACATGCAAAAGTAATGTTTAGAGAGATTATATTTTAGAACCATATCAATTAAATTAAGGGATTATATTTATACATACATAAATTGATTACATGATCCAGTTGGTGTGTTAATTAATAGCATCAAAATATCTCATGTTGGGTATTTATTAATCCTTGTTGTCGATCCTTTTAAAGATGTTTTAGATATATACAATTTGGTATTTAGTGACCAGTATAATGATCGTTACAATTTAGTTATGTTTATTATCTTATCGAATGGTTAATTTGAACTTACATATTTTAATTTTAATTTTTAATTTTACTTTTAATCAATAGTTCAGATGAACACTTATCAAACAGATCTTTTATTCTCATCCAACTCCTATATCAATGCGCATACACCTAGGAGGTAGAAAAGGGGAAGATCATAGAAGAAGTATACTTGACCGAGAAAAGAGGAAGAAATGAAGAGGGAAAAGTTTGGCGGCCAAAAGGGTGTGTGGAGACACAAAATGATACCAAACCGTATCCTAAAAGCCACATTTCAGCTGTCTAAGATCTAAATCTGATTATGGAGGAATATACACCCAATCTTTTGCGGGCCACACCAAAATACACTTCTGTACTATACTTTCACCAGACAACCAAGAAGTTTCCTCCACTATACGCGCCAAATTTCCAACAATAAATTGGGCGAAAATTATTTACAATGCTTAATTTCTTAAAAACTGAGTGGAAATACATATTACTCATCATTTTATTTACTCCGTGATTCAAGTTTTTCTCCATCAAGACAGCTAGCAATAGGTTTTGTAATTTGTTCTCATCGCGATCAACTTATTGCATCAAGCATGCATGTTGCACGAACATATATTATTACAACTAGAGTTAGATTCAACACTTTAAAATTTTGAAACTATTTTACACGCTATTGGTATTCTACTTTTAAAAAAATTAATGTTTGGATTATGCATATTTTTAAAGAAGTTAACTGTATATATATTTGTCTAGAAGAAAAGAGGCTGTAGCGCGTGGGCAAGAAAGTAAAGTACAGAAAGTGTGGAGCTGTCTCAGACTAAAAATGTATGTTTATTGTCTAGTGGTCCCCACAAGTCCTCCGGTCAGCCGCGGACTCTGTCGGCTTACGTGGCGGTGAGCCAAAATGCCCTAGGGTAGCCGAGGCACGTGACTTGGCTCCCACTTTGTCGACTTGTCCCTTCAACCCACAACCTCTTTCTTACCTTTGGATAGTCCCACTTCTTTTCTTTTCTTTTCTTTTTTTTTTTTACGCCACAGGCTTTAAAACTTGCTATTTGTCTGTTTTATATTTTCTTTTTCTTTTTATACCCTATTATTTCTGCTTTCTCCTCTCTCATTAGAACATATATATATATATATATATATAGTACAAGACAGTTTGGCATTCGGCATGGAGAATATATTTTAAAATATAATATTTGAGTAGAGCTATAAAACTCAATCCAAGATGTAAGATGAATGAAGTTCACAATTTTCTCAAGGGAAAATGAAGATATATGTGTGTAAAGCGATCCATGGGTGAGTTGTTAGTCTAGAAGAAATAGTCTTCCCTCCCTAACATTTTTTTTTTCCAGTTAAATTTCTAAGTTGATGTATATATTAAAATAAGTGTATGTGCACTTTTATAGGTGAAAAATCATTTTTTGTCTCTGTAATTTGGCGGTTTTACCATTTTAGTTTGCGTAGTTTAATTTGTCAATTTTATCTATGTAGTTTTGAATCCGAGCAATTTAAGAACAAGTTACAAATTCTGTCAAAATCATTCCAATTTCGTCATAAATTATGTCAAATCCTATACTCAAAACATAATGGAATTGGAAGGATTTTGACATAATTTATAACGTGTCATTGAATTGCTCGAATTTGAAACTATTGAGATAAAATTGAAACTACGAATATCAAAGTAGTGAAACCAGCCAACTACAGGAACTAAATGTGGCTTCTCTGTTAATTTGATCAATATGAACCCCATAATCAGTTAAGTTGTGATTTATGGTACTGATCAAGAATATATGCTATTACTAATTCATCACCCAAAAAAAAAAAAAACTACACCACCAATTAATGAGATAACCATAATCATGTGTCGAAGCCATTACAAAATTGCATTGTCTTTGCATTCACGAGTCGAAATGAGAGACTTATTCCAACCAAATGAAAACAGCTCCAGTAAACCTTGTTGCGGGTTAATTGAATTCATTGAGAGAGAAACCTAAGAGAGAACCCCTAGCCACCACCCCCATGCTTTTTGTCCTATTTTCTTCTATTTTTCCTTCCCTTTCCACATCCTCCCCTTCCCATCCTCTTTGCTTTCCTCTCCTGCATCGTCTCCTCTTTGTTTCGTTAGCTTGTTTATGGTTTAATTCTATAATATATATATATATATGCAAATCTATCATTTTTCGGTGTATCTTCTCTATTTGGCTAGGAGAAAAGTTGATTGGTGCAGATCTTTTCTCTCTGGGTGCTTTCAGACATTGGGTTGGCTTTGTGACAATGGGAGTAGCAATCCGGCTGATTTAGTTTCTTTATTTTTGAAATAAGTCCCATAAACTATCTTTGGATTTTGTGTGTGTCTAGTTTTCACCTCTTCTTTTTGAGAATTTTTCACCTCTCTTATTATGGCTTGGTTTTTCCAAGCTTTTTAATTTTTTTAATTTTTTATTTATTGTTATGAGTTTGCAATCTTAGTTAAGATGCTTATGCAAAAGTTTATTCAATCATGCGTGATCGTTAGTGGAGGTGCATCGGATTATCTTAATGTTGATGTTAAATTTCTTTGTAATTATAATGGCCATTTGTAATTAGTGTTTTTTTTAATGAATACAATTTCTAAATTTCTATAAATAAATAAATTTTTATAAAAAAAAAACCTTCTTGTGAGTTACAATGACTCTACGTTTTCCCTTTGATGAGCAGTGTGACCTTTTCTTGTAGTAAGTGAAGTATTCTTTTGTTAGTAAAAAACAAACAATGTTTAATCCTTCTATAATAGAATGCTACAAGTATAGGAGAATTTTTGTCATGCATGGAATAAATAATTCCTCCATTTTCACATAAGACAAACATTTTTTCTTGGAAAATCTCATAGAAATATTGATTTCTCACAAGTGTTGGAGTTTTAAATCCACAAGCGCATGTGTGTTTAATTGTCTTGTGCACACCTCTCTAAATCTAAGAGCATATTCTTTTCATTTTTCCTCCTTCAAGTGTTTACTATGAACTTCATAAGAAATTGAAACCAATTTCAGATCTCACTTTTCTTTAAAAAAAATAAGAAAAAGACAATGCAATTCAACGGCTAATATTGAAAGTATGTAACCAATATTTAATATAAAATACTTATTCAAAAATAAAATAATAAATAATGAATAAGCCAGAAAGGTTATTTTTATGGAAAATAAACTTGGTTTTTAACTTTTTACAGTGCAAAGTAAGTAACCCAACAATTGTTAGTTAATTGTAAGAAAATTACACATAGGGGCAAACTATATATTGCAACATTGACTTACTTGTTTGTACCTTTCTTTCCTAAACAATCAATTGATTAGACCATCTCTACCACAAAACAAATTCTTGAGAAGTGGTCCCCTTAATTCCATAATTTTTAATGATAATTAAGTTGTTCTAATTATAATAATCAATATGCTTTCCCTTTCTTGTTATTTTTCTCAGCTTTACTGGGAAGGCCCACCATCCACTGTCAGTGCATCTCTCTTTAGGTCTCACCTTTCTAAAACAAGGTTTTGTGCCCTTTGTCTTCCCAATAGTAGACAGCACATAAGGAGAAATAAGAACAGAATAATGCTTTTTGCTTGTAAAAAGACTCAACCTTTAGTTTTTAACCTTTGCTTTTTATACTTTAAGCAAAGC